AACCACTCAGCTGTATGTGGAAATGCATATTTAAAAAAAAATATGTTGCAAATAAAACCATAGTCCACAACTTATGTAGTTTTAACTTATTTTAATATATAAATTCAGTGAAATCATCAAACGTTTGTATGACTTGCCAGTGACTTGTGACCCAAGCTACGACTTGACTTGACTTGCTTGCTTTTATAAAAAAATGACTTGGACTTGCTTGAGACTCGAAGGTTAAGACTTGAGACTTGCTTGTGACTTGCACATGTGTGACTTACTCCCACCTCTGCTGTTTGTTATAGTTAATATGACTAACGTTTAATCTAGAGATCAGTGGTCAAAACCGCATGCCTCTTTATACAAATTATGTTTTCAAATTAAGTTTAAGGCTGTCAATAGATTAAAATGATAATAATTAGTGATGGCTTAATTGGTATTTATAACGTGCATAAATTCACACAGACATTTGCCACAGTTTCTTTCAAATCGTGCTTTAAAGCCACATATGTCGCTCTTTCCAATGACGTAAAACAACATAAGAAACTGTTAATATGTCGTGTTTTATGTTTCTCTTGAAGCAGGGTCAGATTATCTGGTAAAATGCCAGCAGAATTAATATGCACCCAAAATTCAAGATGTGGTGGAAAAAATGGCCCTAGTAGGCTATGAGTTATTTTTATATTTATAACATATGGTATTTAGTAAACAGTTCAGTAAACAAAGAGTGGCTTACTTCCAGAATGAATCTAACGTTACGTTTTAAACGAATCAATTGAATGAATGCTTCTATGACTCGTACATTGAGACGGTGATTTGGCGTCACCTATTGGCGGTTTTAATTTCATAATTTTTTTTATTTTTTAGCATCTAATTTTCTCTATATTAAAATGATTATATTTAAATCATTAATCTCATAACATTATATGGTGTTGTAATTGCAGTATAAATGGATGGTTAGAAAAAAATATGTTAGAACATAGTTAGGAAAAAATGCCCCTGGAAATCTATCTAAGGGGTCACATATTGGCTCTTAATGGGAAAGTTAATGTCTGCCGGTGATATTCCATAAAAAAAATATATAAGCAAAGTTAAACATATGACATTTACTATAAAACCAATATAATTAATGCATTACACTTGTGAATTTAGCTTCAAATGATTTATCTTCAAATGTTTTCGTATAATTGTTATTATAATAATAATTCCACATTTTGATAATCATAAATACACCCTATAATAAATTATATGAATTACTATTACGATATAAGAAAGGTTTCTGAGGGAAAAATAAATAAGGTTGTATATTTTTTTTCTGTTTGGTATTGTAACTTGACTTCGACTTGACCCTTAGCAGGACTTGACTTGCTTGAAGTGAACTACTGACTTGACTTAGACTTGCAGACTTGCTTGAGAGTTGATGGTAGGGACTTGAGACTGACTTTTGACTTGAACATGTGTGACTTACTCCCAGCTTATGGCAGTTGGTGAGTAATAACACCAGGGTGAGTAATTTTTGACTTCTTTTTCATTTTAGGGTGAACTATCCCTTTAATTGCCTTTGAACGCTCAGACATGTGCCCGAGTCAATGTGATATATGTTCTGTAACATATAAATACAATATAACTAGGTCTTAAATACAGAGGATCTGTTGTGTGATCGTTTTATTTAATCATAATTTGCTCTATGGTATACAATACTAAGGCATTATTACAGTACGACTTTCTGCAAAGCCGCGTTGAACCGATGTATATTGTGAACAGTGCTATACAAATAAACTTGACTAAAGAGACCGCAACATAATGCATGGTTTAAATTGAATTGAATAATTGCCAGACTCTAGAATATGATGCAATTGGTATGCGTGATGATATATACAGTAAACAATTTGTAAGTCATGCTAATGAATTTTTCTTTAAAATGGTTATCTAGGACAGGGGTTTTCAACCTGGGGGAGCGAGAAACTGTGAATTCAGAGGCTTAAGTGAAACGTGAATGTAAGATAGCAAATCTTTGTTTAGTCATCCAATAGAGGGGGCAATCTAGTCCCGCAGCTAATCAGGCGAGGCGACCTACATATTAGTTGGCTACAGAGCAGAGTTGACGCGATCGAGTTCAAGCTAAATATTAAAACAAAACAAAAATGGACCGGTGGGCCGGTGGCTTAAACGTAATAATACCAGTGATAAAACGGGTGAACCGTCAGGCAAAAAAGAAGAAGAGTGTCCGACCGAACCCGTACAACTTGAAACAACGCAAATTGATGTCGAACCCTCCACGTCCACGCAGAGAGGATTAATAGCAAAAACCAAAGGCCTGGGTGCATCAAAACGACGAAAGTATGACGAACAGTACATAAAATACGGATTCACGTGCATCACATGCATTAATCACGAACCACGTCCACATTGTGTTGTTTGTTCTGAGGTGCTTGCAAATGACAGTTTGAAACCTGTGAAACTAATACGTCATTTACAAACCGTTAAAAGATAAACCGGTTGACTTTTTTCGCCGTAAACAATCAGGATTCAAAAATTAAAAACAAACTATGACCAGCCAAACCACTGTGGCAGTCAAAGCGCTTACAGCATCATATGAGGTGGCGTATTTAGTTGCCTCATACAATTGCAGAGAGCCTCATTCGTACAGCAGCAATGGCCATCTGTAGAAATATGTTTGGAGATAAGTTTGCCAGTGAACAAATTCCAGTATCAGACAGCACTGAGCTGCCGTATTACTGAAATGGCAACCGAAATCAAATGTCAACTAATTGAGAGAATACGGGAAGGAATTTTTTTTTTCCCATTGCATTTAGACAAGTCGACAGACATCTCAAACTCCTCGCAACTACTTGTATTTGTTCGCTACCGTCATGAGAGAAAATTGCTTGAAGATCTGTTATTTTGCTCAGCAATGGAAAAAACATGCACCGGAGGAGATATTTTTGAAAAACTCAATGGTAAATTGGACGAACTTGGTCTTTGTTGGGACAACTGTGTCGGTGTGTGCACAGACGGAGCGGGAGCCATGTTAGGGAAAAAATAAAGGGCTCGCTGCTTTGCTTCGTGAAATAGCTCCGCATGTGCGTTTCACCCACTGTATTATCCACCGGGAGGTCCTTGCAGCAAAAACTCTTCCTGACGAATTGAACGCAGTGCTTAAAACAGAAACACAAATTGTCAATTTCATCAAGACTTGCCCCATAAAAACAAGACTGTTTGGCCTATTATGCAAAGAAATGGGGTCACTCAGAATACGAATCGTTACTTTTGCAAAATTTTTTACTGACCCAAAGTGGCTCACAGATCTTGCATACCTTTCTGACATTTTTGAAAGACTCAATACCCTTAATTCGTCTCTTCAGGGCCCAAATTCAAACCTACTAACAATGTCCAATAAAATTGTGGGGTTTGTGAGGAAATTGGAGTGATGAAGAGGGCAGGTTGATGGGGGTAATGTAGACATGTTCCCAACCTTGGATGAATTTCTCACGGAAAATGAGTTTAAAGCTGCAGTAGGGAGTTTTGAGAAAACGTTGACTTAGCCTGAAAATTTGAACAAGCACAACTTTCAGGTCCCGCCCCCTTGCTCTCTGCTGCGCTACAGCCCTCCCTCCACAGCTCGTCCTCCACAGCGGAGCCCGTCGTGAACGCGCAGGCTAGTAAACAGGGCCACCCATAACAGCGGATAAAAGTTATATGGCACATTCACTAATAGGGACTAAATGTCAACAATATGTTTACATTGACTATGGCCTGCCCATACTTTGACTACAAACTTGGTCCTCAAATCATTATGTATTTTGCAATAGCCTACATGTAACTTTATAACGTTGCACTCTTTCTATAAGTTATAAATAGCTAGTAAGATAACGTTAATATAACGGTAACTAACGTTACAGTATGTAAGTAATTATTCTAGCGATATATAATGCTAGATAAGGTGTGCTAGTACATTATTTCAGCAACACGACAAGCCAGTGAATTAGCAGGTTTCAATTGTTGCTCAGCAGAGTGCGTGACATTTTATCTACATGTTATGCGGCTCGAGTTTTGACACCGAGTCAATGGGCTCTGTGTAAATCTTTCTTTTTCGCTTGTTTATCGTCATCGGTCTTTTTCCTTTTACCTCTTTGTTTTATGAGCAGGTGTCACTCGAGAATTGGCAGTTTAGGTTGTTTCTCCGTCATAAGCACAGCTGCAGCACGCCGGCAATCTTGAGTTTGAATGACGGCTCGCGCTGTGCAAGAGAGGGGTGTGATCAGCGCGTACACGAGCGTGATTGACACTGCAAAGACACTCCTCCTGGCTCTGATTGGTTGTTTCTGACCGGAAGCGTGTATTTCTTGCAAATGGCAATAGGACCACTGGGAGGAGCCAGAGGAGCTTGATTTTTACACAGATTATCTGTCTCATATTCTACTGTCAGGACATAATGACAGTTTTAGCAAATACATTTTTTCAAAAGTTACCTACAGCAGCTTTAATTGGGATGATACAAAAACATACACTGTTTGACTCGAACACACTGCTGGATTTCTGGCTGTCAGTGGAGACAGAGTACGCTGATACTTTTGCCTTTTGCCTCAACTTGGCTCTGCAAAGCAACATTTTCTATATTAACTTGCATCAAAAGCAAGTGTCGCTCACGCTTATTGACAGAGTGGACATGATTTACAGATAGCGGTGTCGGGTATCAAACCACAGATTGGTATGTTGTGCTCTCAGAAACAGGCTCAGCCATCACATTAGGATATGTACTGTTTCAATATAACTATTTTTATGCACGCTATATGCAGCACATAATACAGGAGAGTTTTATTGTGAGATTGGTTTGTATGCTGTAGCAAGGCTATGGTGAATGCGCTGTTGGTGCGACTTTTGTTTGTTGATTTGAGTTTTGTAAATAAAACGTGCGAGTCCCAGTCAGTAATCGAAATGGTAATCCAATTGTTGCAGGGACAAAAAAAAAAGTAGTTTAATCGCTTGTAATATTTCTCAACCTGGCATTACAAAAGGTGTTAATCTTGGACCCGGGATGTAAAGTAATGTCTCTGTTTAAGTTGATGTGGACCAACTTTCTGTGTGATGTCACTCATGTGCTTTGACGACCACTGCTGTTGTGGTGTACGAGAAGGGGCTCAGAAGAAGAGCCAGAGTGTAATGCCGATGCCCCTCCGCATGAGCCTCAAACACCACCTGCAAAAACACACAAGAGCCACTGAGAAACAGCTTTTAACACGAACACACCTGAAAGACAAAAGGGTCTTTACACATGCGTATATCTGTCACTTCACTGACTCTTTATGTCAGTGTCTGTGTGCTCTGTATGTCTGTGCATGCATGTATGTGTTGCCCTTGAATGCTCTGTCCTCTTATCTAAAACTGGTCCATACTATACTGTGTGTCTATAGAAAACAAAATATAGGTTCTTAAATATTTACCTCCCCACAGTTAATATAGCTCTTGGTTCACATCCAAGACAATCATTCAGGGTATTCATTTAAACATATTTGCTGCAAGAGTGTATGCAAATATAGCTCTTAAAAAGGATAATAACAAAAAGTACAGAGTAATCCCAAGTCGTCCTAATGTATCCTAATGGTGCCTTGATACAACAATTACCTATCACTTAGCAACCAATAAACACTCATGAATATAGAAGTGTCATCACAGCCCTATACTTACATCCGCCATCTGGTGGAATGGTGTGCGACCCTCTTCCTTCCAGTAGGCTTTAGTGTCAAACTCCACCCGATACACACCAGGAGTGAACTCCTTCTCAGTGATCAAGTTGTGCACCTCCCCAGTCAAATCCACTTTCCTGTGTAAGAGGAAGAGCTGATTAATGATAATGACAGACAGACAGCAACAGGCAAGAGGAATCATGTGGATGTGACTAAAATGAAAGTGAATAGAGCAGCCAAAACTTTTCAACAAAGACAAAATGCACTAACTTTGCCAACACTGGAACACACTTTTTTTTAAATTCTCATTTGAATTAAAATGGATCAAAAAATATATTATGTTCAGACTCTTTTCTTTACGCATGTTTGAAATGTTGTATTGCTAGCACTTGTCTAGTTATAATGTCAAGGACTTGAATTCCTCATTTGTAAGTTGCTTTGCATAAAAGCGCCTTGCTGAATGTATAAATGCAAAATGTGAATGTCAAAAAGGACATTGCTTAAGTCAAACTGAGCTCAAATAGAAGCATCATTCCTATTAAAAAATACTATGAATAGCAATCGCATTTGTGAAAAGTTTCAGTCATCTGTCCGCTGGGTTCTAACTAGGTCAGATGAAATATTTTAAATGATTGATTAAATTATATTATATAGAACAATTATTATTATATACTAGAATTAGTATAATATACAGCATGATGGTTGGTGCGGTCTTACCCACTGGCAATCTTTTCCCATGTCCCACTTTGATCTTGGCGATACACACCCAGAGCTATATTTCCAGCGGGGATCCCCTTCACGGCATCTAGGATCTTTACCGTCAGGGGGCAGTGAGCATCTGAACCACCATGAAAACCCTGGAACACATTCACAGCGGCTCACAATCAATATGCACTCAAATGCGCTTTAGTTTTTCTGTCTAAGCATGGTCCTTAGTCTTATTAGTTCTGGTTTTAGGCCTGAAAACAGATTTTAGTGCTTCAGTTGATCGTTTCTTTAATGATCTTGTCTTAAGATTAACCACTTGTTGTATTAATTTGTAAGTCGCTTTGGATAAAATTAATACAAAATGTAGGCTAATGGAAGTAGATGTATCAGCTCAGAGCCGTTTGTTGGGTCAGTGACCACCTGGACGTACAGTTGTGTATTTGTGTGTTTTCCAGGTATAGAGTGTACTGCAGCACTATGGCAGAGTGCAGATAACCTTGCGACCTTTCTGTTAGCCTGTCCAACAACAGAAAGTACCTTGTCTCACCCAGGTCGGGCCAATTTAGGAGACATTTTATCTTCCATGTACATTTCATAGATTTTGATGCAATGCCAAGTTAAATATAACTTTAAGGTGCTGTAAATTTCAGTCATTTAACTTCACAGTCTCTTTCCAAAATTACGCCCTCCAAAGACGTCAGACCCGCCCATGCAAAATGAGGCAGAAAGCGTTTTTGATTGGCTAGTCTTTCTTATTATCAAGAGCTTAAACCAGCACATTTAGCTGAAACAGAGCCTATGGAAGTTGTGACCTCTCATGTAGCAACTGTCAGATGTGAGACATTTTACTAATAAATAAATACCATTTAAAATTAAGGGTTCCAAAAGGGGGGTTTGACAGCGATACCATAGAATAACCATTTTTTGGTTCCCCAGAAAAAAAACTTTCCGTTTTTAAAAGTAAAATTTTTCTTTTCGTATGAAGAACATCTTAATAATCTAAAGAACCTTTTTCCACTTAAAGAAACGTTGGTAAATCAGAAAGATTCAATGGATGTTAAAGGTCCTTTATTTTTAAAGCCCCATTCACACCGGGACGAATATCGGCGCGCGTTATTCGTCAGCGTTTTTCAACACGTTTTTTGTGTTCACACCCAAGCGATTTTCGCTGACGATGAGCCGAGTGAACATGCAAATTCATTCCCTGACATTAGATGGCGCTTAATGTAAAACAGAAATAGTCCTATTATATTTTGTAGTCACTGTCGAGTTTGTCATATAGTTCTTTATGTTCCGACACCAACGAGACCAGAAGCTCTACATTCATCTTGCCTCGCATCTTCCTCGTCTTGTTTCTTCCCGGCAGTGTAGACCATAGATATCCATAATAAAGGCCATATTTGGCCAGCAGCGCGGACGAGACATCTAGCCTTTATTATGGATATCTATGGTGTAGACGCTACTTGGCGCATCTTCTTCGCCGTTACGTATGTGTGCTCGGCAAGACCGTTTTGTGTTTGAGTGCCCCCAAGTTGTGTTTTACTGTAACTTCAGAAGCTCCAGACACGTGAGCAAAAGCGCCAATCTCATTGGTCGGATAGTTTTTGACGCGACGCGTCAAACCAAAAAAACGAACCCGAGGCGTTTTAAAAAAAATTACGCTTTTACGCGTGGCGTTTTTCGCGTCGGTGTGCAACTCACATTGGCGCCCTTTGTTTAGTCACGAGACGTTAAACGTCGGCGAATATCCCGCGCGAAATTCGTCCCGGTGTGAACAGGCCTTTAGAACTCCATTTAAGATATGAAATGTGACATACAACATATGTAAAGGCCTGTTCACACCGGGACGAATTTCGCGCGGGATATTCACCGACGTTTAACGTCTCGTGACTAAACAAAGGGCGCCAATGTGAGTTGCACACCAACGCGAAAAACGCCACGCGTAAAAGCGTCATTTTTTTTAAAACGCCTCGGCTTCGTTTCTTTGGTTTGACGCGCCGCGTCAAAAACTATCCGACCAATGAGATTGGTGCTTTTGCTCACGTGTCTGGAGCTTCTGAAGTTACAGTAAAACACAACTTGGGGGCGCTCAAACACAAAACGGTCTTGCCGGGCACACATACGTAACGGCGAAGAAGATATACAGCGTCTACACTCTGCCGGGAAGAAATAAGACGAGGAAGATGCAAGGTTAGATGAATGTAGAGCTGCTGGTCTTTATAAAGAGACACCAACGACAATAAAGAGCTATATGACAAACGCGACAAACTTGCTCTCTTCTTCTGAGTGACAAGCGAGTGTCAGAAGCGTAGTTGCGCAGCGCCACTTTGTGGACCGGGGTATTTCTGTTTTACATTAAGCGCCATCTAATGTCAGGGAATGAATTTGCATGTTCACTAGGCTCATCGTCAGCGAAAATCGCTTGGGTGTGAACACAAAAAACGCGTTGAAAAACGCTGACGAATAACGCGCGCCGATATGCGTCCCGGTGTGTACAAGGCTTAAGACTGCATACAATTTCACTCTCTCTTAGCACTGAACTGGTCAATTTAATGATACTAAAATGTTACATGAGTGCTAAAAACTGTGCCAGTTCCTGTGGTAGCTCTATTCTATAGACAAGCAATTGAACTTACCACTGGAGCACATCTACAGAAGGCAAACAGAGATGGGAGAAGCACACAAATCACTGCTTTAGCCATGTTAGAGCACAACTGTGGGAGATAACACCCAAAATACCCTTTATACAGTTGCCGACCCTGTGATCAGGTGGCCCGAGGGGCTGTCTGAGGCACCCTGTTGACACAGTAAATAAACAGGGGAATGAGTAACTCCATACAATTTGGTTAATCCAGTGGAAACAATCAAGGGCATCAGCCCATATCTATTAAACAGCACCCCTGTCCTTGGAATTTGTGCATTTCATGAATGCTAATTCCCAAAGTCCCTCCATTCTGTATGCGATCTGATCATTGTCTGTTTACTTTCTAAGGACCTTAGTTCAGGCTCACTGGTGAAATATTTCTGAGCAGCACAAATTTGAGGGTCTGAACTATTATTGATAGTTCAAAGAAAAGTGTACAGATACCCCTTGAAAGGCGAGTGCACACTCGTTTTTCACATATTTTCATGAGATTAGCTGTATTGCTCAAGGCATTGAATCTATAAGTGGAGAACAGCAGAATTCCTTTGCTTGTGAGCAAATTCATAACAAATTCACAACTGGCCCGTGGTTGGGTCAGACAGAAGTCAATCTCATAGAAAAAACAAGGGGAAGGAAAAAGGTAAAAAAAAAAATTAATTGGTGCCTTTGTATCTGCGAAATTCTGGCTTGTTGGTCTCATGCACAGAAAGTGCAACTTGATTGCACTGATGAAATTTGGATATGGTAATAGAGTATTTTTGTCAGTGAGTTAGGCAGCTACTTTGAAACTGTATAGCCTGCCAAGCTACAAGCTAATGATGATGTGTAGTAAAATTTGCTGGAGTTTTGAATTCACTCAATTAGTATGACAATACCAAACTTTAACATGTAAATTTATACTAAACACAACAAATACATCGACATTTCGACAAGTCGATAGTATGTGCAGAGAGTTCAATATGTGAACTTGTTAATTTACATGAACTATCCAAAGTGATTCATTAAATCAAACCTTCCAGTGCTACATATGGATCCGACCACGGTTTAAAATGAATCGATTCACTAGAATGAACTGAACTTTCCAACTCAACATGAGAGAGAGGAACATTATTTAATCAGTTTACTAGGATGAATAAGACTTTCCACCGCGACATATGAGGACCAATAGGGCAATGCAATTTACTTTCCAGTGTTGTTTTTTTTATTTCTATAGCGCTTTATACAATACATATTGTTTCAAAGCAGAAAAAATATACATAGTCTATTCATTTTTTTTTTCAATATATTTTTTGGAAGTGATTTAAGTTAAAAAGTGTTTGTGTCAGGAATAAATGCCAACTTACTTTGAAAGGACAGGATGCTTCTGGGCTGGCTAATTTTTTCTCAATACTTTCTGATACAAATGAGACCACATGAACATGATAGTTGCAACTGTCAGGCATGCTCTGATCATCGTGATTCACACGATCCAGTTTGAATTGGGCAAAGCATCCTGGATGCTTTGTAGGCCTAGTCTTAAATCATAAGTGACAAAGTCTAATTTTTGCTGAAAGTTGTCATTCTCATTCTTCAGCTCGTACCCTGTGGCATGAGGACTCGTGTTAAATGCTGCAGGTTTATGAATGCATTTGAAAACTGCTGGTTAGGCAGGTTTCAGCAGGTAGCGTGAAAAGAGAAAATTGTATTTGTTTTTGAAAAAGCTCCTCGGGCTTAACAGGAATGCTGCAAGCTAACAACACAAGACTCACAGCAGTAAAAATTGAAAAACAAGACTCCGCGGAACTGGAGCATTAAAGGACTTTATTAAAGACTATTGTTGGAAATCCCAATAATAAAAGATTTTCATTAATTCATGCAGAAAAATAATCACCACTGGATAATCACCAGAATCACTACTATTATTAGTATGAAATTAAACGAGAAAACAGATGAGTCATTGTGTACAAACATACATTTAGGAAGTTGATAAAAAAGAGAAAGTTTAGTATTTTCCTGGCGTTAGTTACCCTCCCCCACCCTTAATTTTTACCAAAAATCTTTGCTATTTTATTGATGGTAAAAAAATACAACAAAAAAAATAGAGAATTACAGAGAACATTCAAAAGTTACGTTTACATAATATTTGAAGAATAATCAAATCGAACATTTCCTTAATATTTGCAAAACCAAGAATTAATTTCTAATTTTATTTTAAACATTCAGAGCACATTCAAAAATAACATTTTCATAACTTAAAGCTGCAGTAGGGAGTTTTGAGAAAACGTTGACTTATCCTGAAAATTTGAACAAGCACAACTTCCAGGTCCCGCCCCCTTGCTCTCTGCTACGCTACAGCCCTCCCTCCACAGCTCGTCCTCCACAGCGGAGCCTGTCGTGAACGCGCAGGCTAGTAAACAGGGCCACCCATAACAGCGGATAAAAAGTTATATGGCACATTCACTAATAGGGACTAAACGTCAACAATATGCTTTACATTGACTATGGCCTGCCCATACTTTGACTACAAACTTGGTCCTCAAATCATTATGTATTTTGCAATAGCCTACATGTAACTTTATAACGTTGCACTCTTTCTATAAGTTATAAATAGCTAGTAAGATAACGTTAATATAACGGTAACTAACGTTACAGTATGTAAGTAATTATTCTAGCGATATATAATGCTAGATAAGTTGTGCTAGTACATTATTTCAGCAACACGACAAGCCAGTGAATTAGCAGGTTTCAATTGTTGCTCAGCAGAGTGCGTGACATTTTATCTACATGTTATGCGGCTCGAGTTTTGACACCGAGTCAATGGGCTCTGTGTAATTCTTTCTTTTTCGCTTGTTTATCGTCATCAGTCTTTTTCCTTTTACCTCTTTGTTTTATGAGCAGGTGTCACTCGAGAATTGGCCGTTTAGGTTGTTTCTCCGTCATAAGCACAGCTGCAGCTCGCCGGCAATCTTGAGTTTGAATGACGGCTCGCGCTGTGCAAGAGAGGGGTGTGATCAGCACGTACACGAGCGTGATTGACACTGCAAAGACATTCCTCATGGCTCTGATTGGTTGTTTCTGACCGGGAGCGTGTATTTCTTGCAAATGGCAATAGGACCACTGGGAGGAGCCAGAGGAGCTTGATTTTTACACAGATTATCTGTCTCATATTCTACTGTCAGGACATAATGACAGTTTTAGCAAATACCTTTTTTCAAAAGTTACCTACAGCAGCTTTAATGAAAAATGTTAGCAAAACATTCTTAGAACATATTTTTGTTATCTGAAAAAGTCCAATTTCAAACCCTCACATCATGGGTGAGCTCGTGTTGAAATTGTGTTGAGGATTCCTTACTTTTCCTATATGCTTATTTTACAGTTTCTTCCCACAGGCCATCTCCATCTGTAACACTTAGCTCACACACATAGTGTTCTTTACTGTTCACTGTCCCACAAATGATTCCTCTGCCAAATCTATCTATCTATCTATCTATCTATCTATCTATCTATCTATCTATCTATCTATCTATCTATCTATCTATCTATCTATCTATCTATCTATCTATCTATCTATCTATCTATCTATCTATCTATCTATTTATTTATTTATTTGTGAAATCTGGCAAAATATTTATAGCCACAGCCCTATACTCCAACTTGACCAATTTTTCTCGAATGGGGCTTAATTTTGGACTCTGTCATAGATCCTTGTCTTATTGGATGTCCCTTATATCTATTTAGATGACGCAGTATCTTTTAGTTTGGCTTCCACTACTTTAATACCTAGCGGCGTTTTCTTGTTGTTTTCTTTTTATGTTTTTTTGGCCAGTGCTGGAACATCAGCAAGCAACAATGGTGGTCTTCCAGTTTCCCTTTGCCCTCCTTTCTCATGAAAATGGGTCTGCATTAGCAGTACACCTCCAGGCGCTCCGATGGGAGATGAGACGGGGCTAAATCCCAGCACTGCCTCATGTTCCTGTACTTCCGTTTGCAACTGTATCGGCTGATGAGCAGCTACAGGGGCTCCATTTATCACATACATTGCCTGCTGTCCTCGGGTCAGAGTCGCCTGTGAAACGTTTCTGCCTTGGAGCATCAAACCTTCCATCTCAGGGTTGCCATCTATTACATACAAACCCTGAGTGGGACTCTCAACAAAAACTGTGTTTGGCATTTGCTGCTCCACCAGGTAGAATACAGGCTGCTGTTGCACGAATAGTGTCTGGCTTGCTTTGGCACTTGGAAGCGTGGATGATTTATTAACCGTCTCAACTTTGGTAACGGAGCTTTGTTGTACCTGTTGTGGAGGTTGAGTCTTTTTGGTAACCTGGATGGTGCTAGTGCTGACAGAACTCTCGCTTTTGTAGCTGGTTTCATCCGATTTGACTACTTGCTCAGTTTTGGGAGGGGGTAGGCAAGGCTTTGGAGGATGGCATATCTCCGCTAATGTAAGGAACTTTGACCCCAGATTGTTAAGGAACTCCAGGTCATCGTCAGACTCAAGGAGGCTGCAACATCCAACAGAGCCAGCAGGGGTGCCTTGACCCTCGTACTCGTACTCCAGAAGACCGTCTGTCAGGGGAGGGTTCGCTGCAGCACAGCTTGCTTTCTGCAATAAAGAAAAGAAAATTCTGGCATCATTTATTTACCCATATGTCATTCCGAACCTGTAGAACTTTTTTTTATTGAGCACAAAAAGTTAAAGGAGAACTCCGGTGCAAAATGAACCTTTGGTCTAATTACACATTGTTACCTAGTCAACCGTTATCTGAGATTTGTTTTCATGATTATCGAATGTAAATAGTTTTATCTCTAAAAACAGTTTAGCCTATAAATCTAGTATAACGCTAGTATATTGGGCATGGAGTAATGACAAATAAAAATCGCTTGTTAATACCACTAACAAGGCTGAAAATAGCCCCACACTAACACGGTAGCATAATGAGGGTCCCTACCTTCAAACCGAAGCATTGAGAACTTTGTCAGTGTCCAGACAGTTTAATAAGAAGATATTTTTTACATAGTCAACTTCGCGTATACAGGCAGAAGCCATCTTTGAAAAACAGTCTCTACCAGTCGATCTACGAACGCCGATCCAAGTGCGCTGGTGAGAATGTGAACGAGCTATAAGTTGTGATAAGGTGAGCGCGAACAGTAGGCTTGGATCGGCGTTCGTAGATCGACTGGTAGAGACTGTATTTCAAAGATGGCTTCTGCCTGTATACGCGAAGTTGACTGTATGTTTAAAATGTCAGTGTCCAGACAGTTTAATAAGAAGATAAAGTTCTCAATAGGGATGCACCGATCCACATTTTTTCACTTCCGATCCGATCCCGATACCTGAATTTGGATATCGGCCGATACCGATACTTTTCCGATACCAGAGCTGTGTTTGCTTTAATATTATTATTATCATTATTGTTGATTTTATATGATGCTGAAATAAACTCCTCTCTACAGGTAAGTATGATATGTACGTATGTATGCATGTATGTCAATATATATATATATATATATATATATATTAAACAATAGATAAACAAAAGATAGACAATTAAACAAAGATACACATTATACAGGCCTATACAGTGCTTTAATTTCAGGAAGGTCTACTAACATTATTCAGGTATGGTCTAAAAATAATTATAATAAAGTAATCAAAAGTAAAATAGCACTGCAAAGTTTATCATAGATAGATTTATGCTTATTAAAGCTAAAGTTATTCATTCAAGAGCTGTGAGTGATTTTCTCTTTGCCTTTTGTTGTTTGATTCTCAGTAATGGAGCAATCGTCAGCATGTTTATTAGACTGCTTCCCCTTTAAGAACGAGTGCACCATATTTTCTCCCAACTATTTCCATAACTACGTCCATTTTAGACAAACTGTTTAAGTGAATCTCCAAGCCGGTCATTTTGACATTTTTGTGTAGGCTACATTTGATCGTTTAGACGTGCATATGAAGCCCAAAGTATAATGTGCTTGTCTCGTTGCGGTCTGTTTGGGAGCGCGCGACGCTGGAACAGCTTCTCTTGCGCAGATTTTTGTGCTTTTAATAGCTTTTTTTATTATTAAAAGCGTCCCGCAATTTAGCAACAGTAGAGACTGCATTTTACAACAATCACCGATCATGCTGATGGGCTGTCGTGTTGTGCGCGCTGTGGCACCGCGTGAGAGATCTCTCTCTTTCTCTTCTGGACTGCGAATAGCAAACATGCATCACAGACAAATGGTTTAATTAATACGGCTTTGCAAACATTGCATTTTGCTGTCTTGCTCTGCTGTGGTGTTTCCAGTGTGAAGTATTTCCACCATAGGATTTCCACACAGCGAACATGTTGGCAGCTCAATGCTATCCTGCTAGCTGGCTGCAAACTGCGGAATGGATTTCCTGAGGGGGGGGGGGGGGGTCTCTGTGTCTCATTGAGCCGCACCTCCGTTCAGGATATCCATTCCACAGTTTGCAGCCAGCTAGCAGACTAGCCGGCGGGCCGCGGGAATCACTTTTGGAGTCGTTTCAGCAGACTACGTTAAAGCGCAGACATGGCTCATGGATATCGGATATCTCCGCAGGTTGGATCGGGAAAATCCGATACGTGAATTACGCTGGTATCGGTCCCGATACCGATACTGGATCGGATCGGCCCCATCCCTAGTTCTCAATGCTTCGGTTTGAAGGTAGGGACCCTCATTATGCTACCGTGTTAGTGTGGGGCTATTTTGAGCCTTGTTAGTGGTATTAACAAGCGATTTTTATTTGTCATTACACTATGCCCAATATACTAGCGTTATACTAGCTTTATAGGCTAAACTGTTTGTAGAGATAAAAATATTTACATTCGATAATCATGAAAACAAATCTCAGATAACGGTTGACTAGGTAACAATGTGTAATTAGACCAAAGGTTCATTTTGCGCCGGAGTTCTCCTTTAATGTTTGAAGAATATCTTGGCCACTCTTTTCAATATAATATAAGTAAGTGAGGCTGGGGCTGTCAAACTGCAAAAAGATTGCAAAAGCGCTATAAAAGTTTTGCAAAAATGGTCAAAATAACTTATATTCCAAGTCTTTCAAAGTCACGTGACAGATTTGGATAAACTTCCGAGCCGATTCAGTGAGTTGACTTAAAACCAACTAAGAATGAATCATGCCGACTTGCTTGGTCAATTGGATCAACTGATTAATTGAAAAGGTTTTACTCAAAAGTATGATTCGGTCATGAATTTATGTTAAAAGAATTTGCCAAGTTATTCTTTAAAAAATCACTTATTTTCCACAGAATAGTCATACAAACGCTATGCAGCGAAATCATGATCACAATTGTTATTACATTAATTTAAATTTGAATAAGATGCTAGAAACAGATATAACCTCATACCTGAGAGAAGTATTCATTCAGGAATTCATCTCCCACTGCCATATCCTGATAAATGTTCTGTTTTTCATGTACGAATGATGCAGAATAGAGAGCACTGTTGCGCTGGTTGGCCTTTGAAAGGGTGTTTTGCTGGTACCAAAACCTGCTGTCAGCTTCTGTAAACCCATTGTTTATTTCATGGTTGAACATTCTGCTGGCATTACCAACACTAGCTTGAAAGGCCATTGTGGATACTGTGTTGGAAACCTTGACATCCTGGATCAGTTGTTTTTGGTCTATTGTAGCAACAGGGCTGCTGAGAAGAGGAACCTCCTATATACAAAATCACGTCCACATGTTGTAAAGTGTGTTTTATGATATAAACTAATTCTAATTTTACATTTGCATCCGAGTTAATTTCTTTTTCTTACCTTGTCCTCCCCTATGCCTTCAGTGTGATATGAAATAAGATATTCTTTAGCGTCAAAGGGCAAATCTGTGAACTTGCTCACGGACCCACACTGACAGAAGATCAGTAAGAAAGGTACCACTGAAAATGCAAGCAACACAGAGTTTGTATTATAATCTTTATAAGCACGACAAGCTGTACAAATGTGTTGCGCACACTCCACGAATAACTCACACAGGAGCAAAGCTGCGCCGCTGAGGAACAAGCCAATGGCTGGTGCTCCTATTTCCAACTTGAAGCCACGTTGTGCGGCTAGCCTCGGCCCACATGAGCCCTTTTTATCACAGGTGCACACTTCTACCTCAAACTTTTGGCTGTCTGGACAGGACAGACCCTGAGCATCAGAGATCTTCACTGTCAGCTCATAGATGCCTCGCCACAAAGCCTCCTGTGCATGAAAGCTCACAGTTGTTCCTACAAATAAGAGAGAATTACACTCTGGTAACTCATATAAACTGCATTCGAGTTTGTCCAGTCTAGTATGTTTTAAGCAACTGAACATGCTTTGTCTTTACCGTTTATATGCACCATCTCCCATTTTCCCACACTCTCCTCTTCTATCAGAACAAACTGGTAAGGTGCACCGTTTGGATCAGCGTCCTCATCGAAAGCCGTGACATTTATCACTTTATTATTATCGCAAGTTTGATGATAGGTGCTGGTCAGTGTGGGGCAGTGGTCATTTGAGTCCTCCACCTTTAATGCTATTGTCCCAGTAGCTGTCTTAGATGGCACATCTAAAAATGTTGTAAGAAAAATACCCATTTAACAGCCTTCTGTATTACAAAACCACCCATTCTGGACTTGCAGTCCGAACACTTTCCGACATTCTTTCGAAAGTAGTTTAACAGGTTCTCTGCTTTTTTGAACATAAATACTTGGCTTTCTGGCAAGGTTGGAGGTCAAAATCATTTCAGTATTTTCGACCTCCGTAGGCTAACACTAACTCTTTGAAAAAATGACCTATGAAAATAACCTATGAAAAAAGATGCTTGCCTTGAGTCATGCAGATAATCTTTGCGAAGTAGGTTCCATTTACCAAAAACTTTGATTCTCGATCAGGAACCTTCGTCAGTTTAATCTCAGCAGTTTTCTCATCAATGGTTAACCAGTTATCGGGATCATGACCTTTAGCATACCTGGGTATTCAATTAATGATCAAAACCATGACATGAACATAGTGGATCAAAGATTATTAGGCCCCCATATAAACAAACAACGATACTGCATTTGATAATATGCATCAATTATAACAATGATAAAAATCGATATCATTATTTACAAATCTAATCAATGACTATAATGCAATATTAAAAAGTAAATTAAAGCAATAATATAATTAAGATTAATATAACAAGCTGTACACTTTATAATACAATTCATTACTTTGTGAACTTGGTATCAAAGCTCACCTCACATTTTCAGCCTGTTCTCCAGTATCACCATCCAAAGCAGCGAAGGTGCCCAGCACTATTGGGAAATCTTCATTATCTGGATCTTCTGACACTGGGAAGTCTTTTAAAGAAGGTGAGAAGATAGGGCCATCAGGTAGGTTGTTTACACTGATCTTAACTGGGTAACCTTTCCCAGATGTTTTTTTATCAGGCTCAGATCCAGGTTTGCCAGAAGGTTTAGTGCCAGGTTTTGTTCCTGGTTTAGACCCAGGTGAGGGGCCAGGTTTGGCTCCAGGCTTAACTCCAGGCTTACCATCAGGTTTAAGTCCAGTATTACCACCTGCATCCACTCCAGCACCCAGACCCAATCCAGCATCCAGTCCAGCATCTACATCCAATCCAGCACCCAAATCCACTCCTGCATCCAGTCCTGCATCCAGTCCAGCATCCAGTCCAGCATCCAGTCCCACATCTAACCCCACTCCCAATCCTGTTCCCATCCCGGCCCCTGCTCCTGCTCCCATGCCCGCTCCAGGCCCTACTCCATCCCTGTCCAGATTAACGTCCAGCTCTAAAGCACTTCCATTTATAAAAGGAGCAACATTTGATATAACCAAGCTGAGGTCCAATGCTTTGATCTTTTCAAAATCAACAGGCTTCAGACATGGAAAAGAAAAAAAGATATGAATAATATATGTGGTAAAACATACAGGAAAAATAACAATCTTTTTAAAATCTAAAATGCATGTGCCAAGTTCTTAAAAAACTTGAAAATGGTTTAAAAAAAACTTGTACACAAATTTGAAGAAAAGGTTCAATTTAATGACTCTGAAAATGAAAATGATATATATATATATATATATATATATATATATTTTTTTTTTTTTCTTCATTATGATATCAGGACAGTTGTACCACCCTGACCCTTTTTAACATAATCATAATAATCATAATAATACCGTAGTAATAATAATAATAATAAAATAATTAAAAACATTCTTATTTGAAGAGGTGTATTGAAGTAATGTATGAATTGCATTTGTAATGTATTTTTGAATGAATTAAGAGCTAGCACAAAACAAACGAGTGTCAAGTCATTGACCCCTCAACAAATATAATATGAAAAGTAAAGAAAAATAATTTACCTTGACAAGTTTTAGAATTCCCTCATTCGTTTTAGGGTCTGTTTCAATAGTGAAGAGATCGTCTTCATTTCCTTTATGAATATCAAACACTGCCAGCCAGTTATCAGTGAATTCCAGATCCTTGTCCAGGGCTTTAATTCTCATGACAACCACATCTGTCACACCTTCATCAACACTGCCTGAATACTAACAGAGGAAAGACACTGACTGATACTATTAAAAAAACAAACATTTATGTGCCATTGAATAATCCTGTCTTTCACAGCTCGCATGCAAGGATATTTTAAGATCTTACATGTTCTTTCTCAAGAGTGGGAACATTGTCGTTTATGTCCAAAATATGAATTTGTACAGTGCCTGTTCCTGTGTTGCCAGATGGAGCTCCATTCATATCAACTCCCTGAACTATTAAAGTATATGTGTCATGTCTCTGTAAAAGAGAATTGGCCAAAAACCTGAATTTAAATGATCATGCAGTTTCAATCTTATGGCGTGCCAGTTTTCATATCAGTTACCTCTCGATCCAGGGTTTTCTCCTTCACATAGACTTTCCCGGTTGCTTTATCAATGGAGAACATATATTTGGATTCCGCTGGTGTTTGATTTAATATACTGTATGCTATCTTGGAATTGATAGTGCCTGGCTCGTCCGCATCAGTAGCTGTTATCTGCACAACAGGCGTTCCTGTAGTGTCATAAGAACGTTGACCAAAAAAAGTGTCATTTATGTGAAGTATTTAGGGGGATGTATGATAATGTTAAAACATTATCTGGCTTATAACAGTTATTATTGGAGCAGTAACCTATAAACATCATCAAAAAGTGCTATTTTTAGGCTAACTTACTATGTATAAAATAGCATTTTTTTTTATGTATAACATTTTAGCAAGTAAAAAAAGAGAAAGCTGTGTGTTAAGAAGGTTGGGAAACTGCTGCAGTTGATTGCGAAAAGAGAAAATAATGTGGTAAAAAATTAACACAACCCACCAATCTTGCTACTTTCCTTCACAGATCCCTTTTGTAATTTGAATATGGGTGTGTTATCATTCTGATCCTCAACTTTAATCTTCAGCTCAATGTTTTCTTCGGCTATTGATCCGTTACGAAATCGTGCTATGCCAGTCAGCTATAGAGAAAAATAAGAAAAGATGTGTTTTTTTAAGGACTTATATTGCAGTCATTATGTCAATCATCATTTAATGAAATTAATTACCCAAACCTGGGGCACAACTCACGTTGTATAAGGATGTTTTCTCTCTGTCCAGCAGGCCAGTGACCCTAACAAAGCCATTCTCTGGATTGATTACAAACAAATTATATGGTACCTTGTCAGCACCATGACCTGTTAGTCCATATTCCACCATCTGCCAGTTAATATCTTTATCAGACCGGATCTAAAAAAAAGATCAAGATCGTGAATATTGAGTTTTAAAATGTGTGACTGTAAAAATGGTCATATTAGCAAAACTGAGTGTCAAAATAGACAATATTGCTGTATTTATTAAAAAATATTTATTTTTGCACATCTTTTTTATTATTATTATTCATGTGCCTTCATAACCTTTAATCAAAATAATTTGCCCTCCCTCTTGCAAGTGTCATCTCTTCTCTGATGACGTGTTTAATGGCGCGAGGGCGGGACAACTTGAAACGTCTCGGTTACGTATGGTAACCCTCGTTCCCTGAGTAGGGAACGGAGACGTCTCGTCGGAGTTTCCAACGAATTAGGATCACGCTAGGGAGACCAATTGCCTTTGAGTGAATTAAAACGAGCCAATGAACATTGGCATGCAAGACTAGCATTCCGCGCCCCGCCTGCCAGTGCGGGTATAAAGCGGAAGCGAGCGCACACACATATGCTTTACGCCGAGGAGCCGGACGGTGTCCAGTCCTCCGCGAAGGTACAGCAAGCATGGCGATGGGACGAGACGTCTCCGTTACCTACTCAGGAAATGAGGGTTACCATACGTAACCGACACGTTTCCTTTCGTTAGGGAACTCCTACATCTCGTCGGAGGAGGAGTTTCCAACGAATTGGGATCCCTAATAAAACGCCATGGTGCTGGCCCCTTCCAGCGCCCAGCCTAGCTACCCGCCTAAGCAGTTTCTTAGTTTTCTTTACGGCGGGAGCTAGCTAGGAAGAGTCACACTGCTGTTCCGCAAGACCCGCTCAGTGGATTTTGGATAACACTGGGGAAGTGTGCCCCATAGGAGGGAACGCTGCGGAGCCCCTGCCTGCCCGAAGGGAGGCACTGGAATACACGAATGTACTAACCCGTAGGGTAGTAAAACATACGTCAGTCCCTGAGGGTAGTCCCAGCCCGAGGGGTGGGAGCGTATTCAGCAGGGACGACAGAACCGGTCTGTCGAGGGAAAGACACGGCGCTAACCCGGAGGGTAGCTGGAACATGGAAAAAATGGGTCACCGTAGGGACCACTGTAAGGCCACCCAGTCTAATAACAACTCACACGAGAGGTAGTAGACCTGGCGCCGGGCGATCTGCCCAGTTGACCTGAAGACCCAGGCGGCTGAGGTGCCGGAGCACCATGTCCCTGTGTTCGCACAACAAATCTCGCGAGTGAGCTATTATAAGCCAGTCGTCGAGATAGTTGAGAATGCGAAAGCCATGTTCTCTCATGGGAACAATGGCCGCCTCCACGACTTTCATGAAGACACGGGGCGACAGGGCCAGGCCGAAGGGTAGGACCTTGTACTGATATGCTCGACCCTCGAACACAAACCGAAGAAAAGGTCTGTGTCGAGGAAGAATCGAGACATGAAAGTACGCGTCCTTCAGGTCGATCGCTGCAAACCAATCCTGGGGACGGATGCATTCGAAGATGCGCTTCTGCGTGAGCATCTTGAACGGGAGCTTGTGCAGGGCCCGATTCAAAACTCGCAGGTCCAGGATCGGCCGTAACCCACGGCCGATCCTGTAAGGGGTGTAGAACCCAGACCTCATCTCGGCTGGAGAGACCGGCTCGATCGCGTCCTTCGCCAGCAGGGCGTCGATCTCTTTCCTCAAGACAGGGGCATCGACGCTCCGCACACGGGTGAAGCGGATGCCCCTATACTTGGGAGGCCGGCGGGCAAACTGAATTGCATAGCCGAGCCGGATGGTACGGATGAGCCAGCGGGACGGCCTCGGAAGCGCTAGCCAGGCTTCGAGAGACTGTACCAACGAGCCCACCCGGACCACCGGCGTACCCCCGGAGGGGCAGCGAGGTGGAAGACAGGGACCGGACTCCGGAGGCATTGCTGCGGCCGAGAGAGGGGTCTGCGTGTGCGGGGCAACACCAACCTGCTTCCACCGGGGGGGCAGACAGCAGGGAAGGCCCGGAGGCGTTCGGCTGCTGGCTGACCCGAGCCGAAGGAAGGAGGGGAAACGAAGGGGCGAGGCCCAGGGGCGTCGAGTCCTGGTTTCCGCACCTCCTTGCCCAGCGAGAGACGAGAGTGACGAGGTCATAGCGGCGTCACTGACATCTGAGCGCTGGGGCGAGGGGAATGAGAGCGGCGAGGCAATGTGGCGGTGCACACTGTCATTCTCCTCTTGGACGGAGGAGACTGGGAACGGCGAGGCAAATGAGCGTCGACCTGGACTGCCAGTCCCGCCCGTGAGTGACCCAGAGGAAGTAGAAACTGCTCTTTTATTGAAATTTTGGGTACCGCTGACCGACTGGCCAGCGGCGGAACAGAAAGAAAAGGAAAACAAAGATTCTCCACCCGGCCCTCCTCCGGGGGAAGGAGAGGTGCAGAGGCACCCTCCCGAAGAGCAGCTCCGACGTCCTCTGGTTCGCCCGTCTCAGGGTCGCTTACCTCTCCTCTTGCTGGGGGGGCTTCGACGAACCCCGAGCGGGCTGGGCACCTCTCTTGCGGCCGGCACCCTGCTGCTTAGCTGGCTGCTGCTTGGGCTGGGCAGGGGCGGAGGTGGCGGCAGGAGGGCGCCCCCGGCGACGAGCAGCCGGAGGCGCAACCGACGGGGACGGGGCAGCCACAGCCTGTCTCCGGGACATGATGTGCTTGATCACCTCCGACTGCTTCTGGGCGGCAGTTGAGTTGACCTGTGTCAGGCCGCCAGAGGGGCCATCCACGATCTCGTCACCTCCTCATGCACCTCCGGAAAGAAAGGAACCGGGGCGGAGCGCTGAGTACCAGTACAAGCCGCCCCGAGAAACCAATCGTCGAGCCGAGAAGGTTCGGGACGCGGTGGAGGGTTCCACACGAGCCCGACCTTCTCGGCCGCCCGGGCAAGCATAAGGGTCATTTCCGGGTCACAACTCTACCACACCCGAAGGGGGCAGTGCAGCCGGGTCGTCATCCCGATCTCCGATCTCCCTCCGATGCAGCGATCGACATCTGGTCCTCCGGCGGAGCCCCGAAGGAAACGACCGGGACCACACGAGATGGCCCAGCGCGCTCCTCCCGGGGCTCCAATGGCAGCGATGCAGAGCAGTGGGAAGCCCGTGGGGGTCTTTCACCCGGCGGGTCATTCCTCACTGTAACCCTCAGACCACCAATGGGATTAGCCGAAGTAGCCTTCTTCTGGAGTGAACCAGAAGAAGAACTAGATCGGGGAATCTCCAAAGGGACTTCGCCTCGTTGGAGGGTCCTTAGTCTCAGTCTTAACACCGCGATGGTCATGCTCCCACAGTGAGAACATGACTCATTCATAAACGCTGCCTCAGCGTGCGCGAGGCCCAAGCACGAGAGGCAGCGATCATGACCATCTACCGGAGGCAGAAGTTGACCGCATCCAGAAACACACGGGTGAAACGTCATCCTGAAAAGGACGCGATCTTGACCCGTGTTGCTCTTTCACAGAAAAACACTCTCTTTATTGTGCTGAAGCACACAGGGACAACCGCGGCAACACAGCGGGGAAACTGCAAGCCCGCTGTGCGCACTCAACCGAATACCAGCTGTGACAACAGCTCTTTGAAAAAAAGGCAGATCGCATGAAGAAACAGCTGGTACCCGGGAGATCGCGAAGATCGCTGAAGCGCCGTCACACCAACACAGAGAGGTCTCGGAGAAACAGCAGACTCGTTGAGCGTGAAGACAAACACAATCTTGAAGCTCATCACTCAGAGGACACAATCGGTCGGCTCCGAAGGTAAAAGCATGTGCGTGCGCTCGCTTCCGCTTTATACCCGCACTGGCAGGCGGGGCGCGGAATGCAAGTCATGCATGCCAATGTTCATTGGCTCGTTTTAATCCACTCGAAGGCAATTGGTCTCCCTAGCGTGATCCCAATTCGTTGGAAACTAACGAAAGGGAACTAGGGGTGCGTTTAACTCCAATTTTTTGGACCCGGACTCGCAAACTTCCCGAAGCACTTCGCCTCGGGGGAATCCCCACCGTTATTCTGAAGTGCGTTTACTTCGTCATGTGGACGAGGGAAGTTTATTTAGACAGACCCTTGACCACTTGAATTTGATCGAGGGAGCAAGTCTGAATATGTACAGTTCAGGCAGATCTATAGACCACAATGCAACATGATTGTGACATCACAGCAGATCATGCTAAATTGACCCCATTTAATTAGTATTTACCTTAAGCTGACTGTTAGTTTATTGTATTGTTATCATACAAGTATATTTTTATTATTTTATATTTAATATAAATATCTAAATATTTAATACTTGTTTATATAAAACAGCCCAAGCATACATGCAGGCAGAAAAAAAATTGGATTCCACGTGTACCAGATGTAGGCTGGATCTTGGCTGACACTATGTTGCTGTCTGGGTTGATAACCAATTACAGAATGTCCATGTACAGAACCCGGTTTTGTTCATTAAATGTTCTGATCTGCCTTTGCTTTTTATGTTTTATTTATTATACTTAAAAGAAATTTGTATGTTTATTTATTTACTTTTTTCTCTTTTCACAAATGTATGACTTTTGGAAGTGCAATTTGATTACCATGCGGTTCCAATAAAGTTAAATTAACGTAACCTTCTGTCATTTTTACTCTTCAAAGTGTACACTTGCAGGTGTTGATTATAATTAAGCTAATTTACTGATAGGCCCTTTAAAAGGGTAAACAATATTTAAAAAGTAATATGCCCAACTAGTTTTGCTTTAACATTTTCTGACCAGTCATTAATTTCTGTCTCCATAGAGGACATATATGTGTTACTGCCGGGCCAATACATTCTGGTGTACATTACTGCGGACCTCCTTGACTTTTTGGCAGTAGAAACTGTGGAGATAGTTCCATTGATAAAGAGAGGACATTTGATTTGTAATATCATGCAACAAATTTACTAAATAGAACAAAGTATCTTAAATACATTGATCTGACCATCAAGCTTTAAGCAATGATACTGTAACAATTCAGTAGCATAGCTCACACAAACAATAATTTCTACAATGGTTATTTTTAAATGATTATCTTTTAACAGAAAATGTTATATTTAATACATTAATTACCAACAACAGAACTTAATTATATTTATAACTATTAAAAACATTTAGTGCCTAAACTAAAATAATTATTACTAATACATAAATAGTTGTGTTTATTGAAATTACAATACGAAATTCGCTTGTAGCATAATGTATAGATATAAATAATAAGCTGCAAGTCATAGCGTAAACAGTACCGTGGGTTTGTGTCATATGTGATTCCTTTGTGCAGCTGCACATTGCATAATGCATACAATCTCAAAATCTAATTTTCTTGGTGACATGCAACAGTTTTTATCAAGCAAGATGCCTTGTGCGGCTTCGACCAACAACTTCAACAAGAATGAAGTTCCGTGAAACCGGGGGTGTATGTTCTGGCGACGGCCCTGTATGAATGCAAGTGTATGCAAATATAAAAAAAACAACAACTAAAATACATTATTTAAAAATGCTTTCAGCTTTTGTTTTGCCTGGACCCTTGAAAGCTTTAAGAACCAGTAGATCCAGATCTCAAGGTTTTCAGCACAAACAAGACAAAACTAGCATTAGCACCACCCAGTGCAAGCATATGTTAAATATGTCTTTGGGTTATGTACAGAAAAAAAAAAGAGAAGAAGAAAAAAGAACATGTAAAATGCTTACTTTTGCCACATACTCCACTTTTGTGTAGTCAACATTCTCATACAGTCTTGTTGGTGGAAGAATCCACTCTCGTTTCCTTCGATTAGATCTTCTGTTGGCTCTTGATGCCTAAAAAATGCGATATATTTTTTAAAGGTACGACATTAAGTGCATATCCAATGCAATGACATTACTTTGTTTACCATACATTCAGTATTATTTATTTTTACATATATAAAAAAATGTATTATTTTTATTTGCACTAGACTAAAATTTTCTGGTCATTAAATATAAAGAATATCTACCTCTAATCCCACTATTTGGGAATTTTTCTTTATACGTTTTAGTGACTATTTCATCACAAGTCATGCCAATTTTATCTACTATTTCAAATGTTTATGGTTGGCAACTAATGTTAATAAAAATAGATCCACATGCTATTTTCAAGTGTGTGAAAACTAACAACAATGTATTATGGACTATAATTATGGATGGACTAGTGTGCATTCCATGAACACATTTATCTTTCTCTCCATGCTTGTAAATGCTTTTGTGAATTAGTTTTTACTGGCCATGACAGCATATATATATATATATATATATATATAGCTATACATACATATGCTATGTATATGTACATATATATACACACACACACACACACACACACACGGTGTACTGTAAATCTGTCCTCTTTACAGTAAACTGAACTAGTACACATACTTCCTAAGGTGACAGAAATGCCTCTCTCTTTCTGTCTATTGTAAGAATCTGCTGCTGTAGCAAAGAGTGCAAGTTTAAACTTGAGACTATGCTCCCCAAAGGCATTTTTTATATTAACCGTGATAAGTGGTAGTTACCTCTCCCTGACAGTGGTTAAGATGGCAATTAGGCCACAAGAATTATTGACTATTATGATATTTTTCCATTTTACTATGATGATCTAATTGCTACTTTATATATAAAGGAATATATCAATATATGACTTGTCTTTTAAGAACTAATCAGGCAAAATCTATCCATTTAACAAGGTATAATCTCATACAAAAGCTTTGAAAAACAATATTGTTTTTTTTTTGTGTGTGAAGAAAAACAGTTTTAAAAGTTAGAAGGATCAAGTGCAGCAAGTGTGTTAAATAAAATTTGTTTAATGAGTGAAAAAAATGAAATATAAATTGAGCGTATTCAATGTATTTGATGCCAAAACACCTGTTGGTTCAGTGTCACTCACCACAATCCTGCATAGCAGCAGGAGCAAACATATTCGTCCAAGCCAAATGAGAGACATGACAGCTGTAGATCAGATGTTAGCGGTCAGTCCTTTCTTCTCCAGTCCTCCTTCTCTTTCAGTCCTGAGCTGTTGATCAGAGCTATGCTTGTGTAGAGGATTTGAGGAGAGGGTTGGAAGTGGGGGGGTTACTGATCACTTTTTGGGTGGGGCATCTGAAACAGAACTTGCTCTTGTACACACCCAAATGTGAGAGTTTTCTGATGTGGAGGAGCCCTCTCTCTCCTCCACCCTTCACATTTATTCACATTGTGTATGAAAGAAGCTAATACAACAGATTTAAACTGTAAAAAGATACAGTGCTGAATGTGAGGTTGTGAAACATGAAATGGTCTCCCAAAAAAGGAATTTCATGGCATAGATATAACAAGATATCAAACCAAATGTTTCTAACTTTTTTTAGTCAGTTTTATATGACTTTTAAGCAAGGTGATTTTTTTTTAAGCAAGGCCGTTCTCCTCAAGTTTACATAGCAGAATAACCACAAGTGTAGTTCTTCACATTAACTACAAAAAAAATCACAAAGTGTCACAATACTTTAGTATTGAGCATTGTTTTATCATTTGAAATCTGACACCACTTTTTGTGAAATGTTTTGCTTGAAATTGGCTTGCGCTCTATTTCTTTAAAACAAATTGCACTTGGTTTGATATTTTAATATAAGTGAAGTTCAAAACGTAATTTTGGGAGGAGTGAACCCATCTAATCTTTCAACTAACTGCCGGAGCATATCCGCAGCTGTTCACCTTGCTCTGGCTCCAGCTGTTTTGGCATCCCTCCACCTCCCCAACTCCACCAACATAATTAAGGCATCTTGCTACCATACTCATCATCCAAGCATTAGTAGTTCCACTGGGGTGTATATCTAAGCTAAAGTTGAAGCTGCTTCCTCAAGCACCTCCACTGCGGACAACAAGCCAAATATGCTTAACCTTATTAGCTTAAAGATTATATGGGCAAAAGAACTCGTGAATGTAGCTTAAGAGTCTAAACAGGTTTCGGTTCCACGAAACAGATGGCAATACTTCTAAGAACTTTGAGAATTCACCTGTTCTACAAGTTCATGCTACACCTTTCACCAAAATGCAGTCTGCCCCAAGCAAAATATCGACAAAAAGGAAACACCCGACCAGTGTGGTAAAAACATCAATACAGTTTCATGCCACTAGATGGTGTGAATCACAAAATATAACTCTAGCCATATAAGTATAAATGTATATTTATTTATTCATTGCTTTTATATTGGTGAGTAGTAACAATAGAGGTAACAGCTTCCAAATGCATATCCAATGCAAAACACACATAAAAGGAAACAATATGTGAAAAGTGCTATACCAATAAACTTGAATAATTGTACATTAAACATGCGGTAATGATTGGAATTCATGGTTAAGGGCAGTTTTTTGAAAAATAAGATACATTATTAACATGCTCAAGAGAAGATTGTGCTTAAAAACAATGAATGGCCATCTTGCAAACAACTTAACTTCACTGTTTATTATCACAATCTATTAAACCACAGTCGTAGGTTCACCAAAGATGTGTTCCACAACAAAAATCCCAAAGAGAAACAATATTTTAAAATACAATGTGGTATGATTTCCATAGGACATAACTTTGACTCCTACATTCTGTTTACAGAAACGCAATTAGGCTATGAAATCATGGAATCATGTAACTGTCTGAACTGACTAGTGACTAATAATAATCAACAATTTTCATATTCCAGTGATTCAAAATTGTATTCAGTTTATGAATATAAAAGCTTTACTATAAATTTAAATGCTACATAAAGTGATATAATTATTTATTGTTAATCAAGTTATCAATTGCCTTATAAAATGTCTAATGTGCTTAACCTGTCCTTTACCTTATCCATTTGTAAAGCAAAACGCAGCATATTTTAAAACATTATTCATTAACATCATTGCCCTTTAAACATGTTCAAAGCACACTGCAAACATTTAGATTTCTCAAAAATGCTCATAACCACGTGTTGTCATTTTAATATTGAGTTCATCTGATGCCTAAAATAAAATAGTGTCTGTTTCTCTGTGAGCAATTTCACTGTGAGAATGAATAGTATTAAAATGTTCTGAACACTCGAGAAGGGACCACTTACTAATAACTGACTGTTATTTAGCTGTCCAGTAGAAACGTGAGGCAAGCTCACTAGGCTTGTAGTACCTGCACTCACACATGATACCTGCCTGGTCCTGCAACCAATACGTTACCTCCATTGACATGACCCTCTGCAATAGGAGGACCACTAACCAATAGTCTGCTCGCTACACCTTCTCCTGATACAATATTCGGAGCACTTGAGAAAGGAGCACTTAATAATAGTTGGCTGTTTACTTGACCATTTGCAATTTGAGGCATGCTCACTAGAGTTCCAGAGTCTCCTACTAAAACATTACCTCCATTGACAAGACTCTCTAGAATTGTTACTGTCCCTTGTCCATCATTCTGTGCACTGGAAAAGGAGCCATCAATTACTCTTTGGTTAATATGTACTGGTCCGCTCACTTGGTAAAGTGGTTGAGGGCTCATGGGACGATTTGGACCTAGACCACCGACTAATATACTTCCATTGACTGAACCATCTATAAAAGTTACTCTACCCTGCCCGCTCTCTCCTGATACAACCGATCCCACATGTCCAATTTGAGAGTACAAGACAGAATCACCAATGATGCCATGCTGTCCACTACCTAAATGTGCAAGTGCATGGCCATTACCTTGAGTCAGAAATATGTCAGCTTCTGGAGTGCCATTAATTATGTAAAAACCTTGCCCAAGTCCATCCTCAGACAGCAAAACATTGCTTTGCATTGGCTGGTCGAACCCGAAGTACATAGGCTCCTGTACGACCATCCCATGACCAGGTGCGGTTTGGACAAGTGGTGACTTGACAGTTATCTCCACAGGACTGGGTTGGACAGTGTTAGTCATGTGATCGGAAGATACTGCAGTTGTGATTGGTGTTGTCTCTACAGTATTTACAATTACCTGTGGGTCTGCCTGAGACATAGATTGAGTCTGTCTAAATCCACAAACCTCAGCCAAGGTGTTGAACTTTAAACCCAGGTTGTTTAAGAACTCCAGGTCATCATTGGACTCGTTGTAGCTGCAGCTGTCAACAGAACCGGCAACAGATCCTTCACCCTCATAATCATACTTCTTCAGTCCTTCCTCTGGAGAACCATACTTTTCTAAATACGTAGATTTCTGCAAACGAATAAAAGAAAATATCATTTCAAATGTAATCGAATGAGGTGTTAAAGGCACAGTTCACCCAAAAATGAAAGTCATCCTATTCGTTCGGGTCACATGACGTCACTGTAGCTTTGCGCCGCCATCTTTATGACCGACGGTCTCAGTAATGCCTGCAATATGTTCTGCAGTTGGCTGCAAAAACAGCCGAAAGAGGAACCCCGAACTGGTATTTATTATATAACAAAAGAAAAGGATAGAAGAAAGAAGTGGTTAGCTGTCATTCGAAGAGATCATCGCTGCATGTCTCATATTGTATCATCATGTCTCATCTTTCTGTGCGCACACACACGACCCGACGCGTGCGGCCTAGACCCCTATACAGCGCGCGAGTAATGAATTGAGCTCTGTTTCGTGTCTGAATGGACAAATACACACAACATTATGTTTAAATGTCTGTTTTGGAGAGTATTCACGTAAAATATGTCGGTTATGTCTTAAACAGAGTTGTCATCCAGTCTCTTTGGTAGAGAGAGAGAGAGACGAGGAAAACAAACAAGCATGCAAATGGAAATTATCGCGCACATTTTTTTTTCCGTGTGATTAATTGATTTATTGACTATCGCAAGAGGCCTAATCCAGATTAATGACAGCTAGCCGTGAGCCGTGGCTAACAGCGGGCAAGCTACCAGCTGTTAGTCACTTACCTAGCTAACAACTCGCTATTCAGAGCAAAATACCACCAAAATCATACATTTTAATTTTTTTTTATAATACCTACATTTCCCATGATTAAATATAAATCCTTGGTGGCCAGCGCCGCACTTTTACGTCTTTTACCCATCCAGCTACAGTATATTGATATGCATCGGTACTTTTGACAGCCTTCAAGCGATCTCCACTGTATGGGGAGGGGTTATGCACAAGATATATATATATATATATATATATCATGGAGGGCAAGTCTGGGGCAGATAATAATGGGCAAAAGAAAACTGGGGGTAATAAATAAGGATCGGAGCCTAAAATTAAAATTTTCTCAAGGTATCTCTGTCTCTCTCTCTTATTCAAATAGGCAGTTTGGGCGGCCATACCGGGCGAGATCGGTCGTAAATATGGCGGCGTTCTATTGGTAGTGACGTAGGTGGCATCTATGAATACTTATCTTCATGTTGCTCCAAATCTTTTTCTTCTGTGGAATGAAAGCCAGTGGGATCCAGTGTTTTTTTTTTTGGACTCCATTTACTTTCATTATACAGACAAACAGTCATCAAACAGTTTAAACATTCTCAAAAATATGTTTCCACAGAAAAACAAGTCATACACATTTTGGAGCAACATGAGAGTGAAAGAATTAAAGAACATTTTTAGGTAAACTATCCCTTTATGTATTCAAAACGCCTCCATACAACACACAATAAAAATAACATACTTGTGTGTAGTATTCTTTTAGGAATCCATCAAAGAACACATTATGCTCTTCTTGACAACTGGCAGAGTTTTCAGTCTTCCATGCTCCGTCAGTGTCACAGTAAAAGTCTCCAAATGCACTCTCCTGCATCATTCCTACCATTTTAGAACCATTATAGAGTTGCTTTGATTGCTGGACATGAATTTCATCCATTGGGGTTTGATAGTTCATAGCTCCCACCATTCCTGAAGGTTTTTGGGATATTGTTATTTTATCACCCCATCCATTGTTGAGTTTTGGCGGGGTGCTCATCAGAAGAACTTCCTGGAAGAGAAACCGAAGAAATGATCACATAATACAAAAGTGTTTTACACTGTCACTTGTTCCTTCAGATATAATTATGAGCTGTGCGAGATCATGAAGGGATTTGTTTTACCTTGTCTTCTCCTATTCCCTCTGTGCTATAAGGGACAAGGTGTTGCTTGGTTTCAAATGGGATGTCAGTAAAACCTTTTCCAGCACTCCCACATTCACATTTTATTAAGACCATGAGCACCACTAAAAATACAGACATAGAAACACAAACACTATTTTACAATGTTACCACAAATAATTTGATCCAGCCCATTTTAGCCTGTCAACTTTACAGTTAACTAAACTTTATATTTACAGACAGTAGTAGACCATGCTCACATATTAGGCAGAGGAATCCTAAAAACAGGAAACTAATTCCTGGCGCTCCAAGAGTGGCTGATATAGTGCGTACTGCTGCCATTTTTGCCCCACAAACCATGCCTTCAGAGCAGGTACAAACTTCTAAATGGAGGACTTGCTCATCGGGGCAGGCCAGTCCTTGCATGTCACTGATCTCCATGGTGACTTGGTAAAAGCCAGGCCATAAGTCATCTTTACTGAGCAATGAAGCACTTGCATCTAAAGAGGTGAGAAACAGTTAGAGACCTGACTATGAGGTTACTTTCGACTCAAAAGCGAACAAGAAAAATCATTATCTACTTTATATGTTGCTATAAATTACATTAGATATTTACATGAATGTCTGAATATGTTTAATAAGATATTATTATCGAAAAACAGAGATTGGTTGGTAGTTCTGTTTGGTATTACCATTTATTCTCTGCAAGTTCCATTTGCCCCTTGTCTTCTCTTGTATCAAATTGAACTTCAGTGGAGCTCCGTTGGGATATGAATCATTATCTTCTGCTGTGACATTCACTACTCTGGTATCACTGCAGACAGTCTGCACATTATCAAGGAGTTTGGGGCAGTTATCATTCAGGTCCTCCACCTGCAAGGCTATAGTCCCCGTAGACGTCTGAGGGTGCAGCTCTAAAATGTATAACGAACACAAAACATGTTGCAATTAATCTTCTTTTAAAGTATTTCACTAGTGTTTAAAAATCACCCAGGACACACTTCATGAAGTTGGTTGAGAGAAATTAAACAGAGTGTAAAGTGTGGTGACTGTTCTCTAAATTGTCGATAACAATAAAAAAAAAATAGGCGTGTGACGTGTCCAAATATTTGACTGCTAATGTGAAGGTTCCCAACATAATGTTCCTACTAACCATTTGTAATGCAGAGGATCTTGGCATAGTAGGTCCCATTTACCACATATGGAGACTCACGATCTGGTAACTTGTTTAGTTTGATCTCAGCAGTGTCCACATTTATAGAAATCCAGTTGTCAGGGTCATATCCCTTTGCATATCTATAAACAAACATGGAACATTACCTGATTGCTACATTTGGGGTTTATTACAGGAATAGTTAAAGACCCACTCCGATGAAAATAATGTTTTTCTAGGTGTTAACATGTTCTTGTGGCATTTTTCTGATGTTAGAGGACATATCTTGAGAAAAATAAGCTCAAAGTTGTATTTCTGAGTATTTCTACATTCAAATGGCTGTGAATCAGTAGCAGACGCTAAAATGCCGGCTAAAATAGACTGGAGTTGTGACGTAGTAACTAGTAACTCCACTCTCAATAATGATCGGTGATCGGTGATAACTTTGATTAACTTCGGATAATAATAATTAATGTGTATATAATACTGTTTATTGGGGGTGTAAGCTAGCGGGAGAGACAGAGCTCTCAGCAACGGGCAGGGGGAGGGTCGTCTCCGTGCCAACGGCTCCGCCCACAACACAGAGGCGAATTGCTAATGAGCAACTGCCGCTCTGCTGAAGCGAAGTCCCAGAAAACGGCACAGGTTTTGTGATTTTGGCTAAAAATGGCATAATCATAATTTAAAGACCACTGGGAATGTTTAAAAATAGCTCAAATATGATCGGAGTGGGACTTTAATCACATTTTGTAAAACTAAGGTGTAATAATGCTTTTTAACACACCTGATTGAGTTGTTGTAATCAGTGCCAGTCCTCCCTATTCTCAAACTACGCTTAGGGCCCCCAAACCGTCAGGGTTCTTTCTCCCAAAGATTATTTAAGTAGCATATCACTATATAATGTAAACAAATTTTTATAACATACACATATAAATGTGGATACAACTTTAGCGGAGTCATGTAGAAATGTATTATTTATATTTATTTAATAACTGTTTTGGACATCATGCAGTGTGGCTTCTTGACATATGGCTATGGCAGAAAAAAAGAAAATGCGCCAAGAATGATGTAGGTACACTACCGTTCAAAAGTTTGGGGTCGGTACGATTTTAAATACTTTTAAAAGAATTCTCTTCTGCTAACCATGGCTGCGCTTATTTGATTAAAAATACAACAAAAATCAGTTATAGTATTAAATATTATTCCAGTGTAAATCAGCTGTTTTCTGTGTGAATATATAGTAAAGTGTAATTTATTCCTGTGATCAAAGCTGAATTTTCAGCATCACCAGTGTCAGTGTCTTCAGTGTCAAATGATCCTTCACAAACCAGTATAATATGAGGATTTGATGCTCAAGAAACATTTATTATTATTATCAATGTTGAAACAGTTGTTGGTCTGTCAGTTGTACATTTTTTTTTTTTTTTTAGGATTCTTTGATGAATAGGAAGTTCAAAAGAACAGCATTTGTTTGAAATAGAATCTTTTGTAACATTATAAATGTCTTTACTGTCCTTGATAAATAAAAGTATAGAGTTCTTTCCTCCCAAAAATAAAAATAAAATTCTCACTGACCCCAAACTTTTGAACGGTAGTGTATGTATTTTTGGTTTAAATTTTAAATTCTTATGTATTCTTGACAAACCAATAAATTTGTAACAAAAAGAAAAGAAAAAAAAAAGTCCAGTCCAGATCTCCGGCCCCTGGTTCCATATTAGTCAACTCAGGGATGGGCAGTATTTATGATACATTTATTTCAAATACGTATTTCAAATATAAAATAGTATTTTGTATTTGATAGGATTGATGAAAATGGCTTCATATTTTGTATCAAAATACTTGAGTGTTTTGTAGTTTTGTAGTTTTAAAATACAGTAAAATACTTTGTTGGAAGACTTTTACTCCATGGAAAATTGATCCATGTTGAAGAAGGTGCAAGATAAGAAACGTGTTGGCTGCCAGCTTTCCATTAATTTAGTATAAATTGCTATTATTTTTAACAGTTCATGTTAAGTTTTGGTGTTCGTTTTAGTAGCCTAGGCTAAGTAGTTTACCAATTTACAAAATGTTCTTGAAAACTATTATACCGAGCAGCAGCCCCACAGTTAACGTTGGCTTGCTACTTTCAGCTTATGTGAAGTTCGTCGGTTGTGCACGAAAAATAATAATAATTAAGTATGAATGACTGCCTAATATGTAATACATTATTATATTTATAATTAACAATCAAATGATTAATTAGTTAGAAACTAGTTGCTATGAATACAGGTGCCATCAGTGGTCTTGAATGACTTTGTCATTGAGTCAGTGTTGCTGATGCAAACCAGGCCCTTCGTTACCAAACACCAAGTAACTTAATAAGGACACAATTATGTGTCATTCGCAAACTGTTAAACATTAAATGGTTGGTTACTTTAAAACTAACCTTCATCTGGGAGATCTGAATCTGAATCCATTTATTGTCACATCACTAACAACACATGTGCCGTAGCGAGTGAAATTCTTAAGAGCGTGCTCCAGACAGCGCAGAATACAATTAACATAAGACAATATACAATTACAATTAACATATATGAGCAATATGCAGATGGCAATGTACAATATGCAGTATAGCTTAATATAAATAGTCACAGAAAAACATACTTTACAATAAGTTAGAATTACCAAATACAGATATACACAGTGCAGTATGATGCGCATGATTGGTATCTCGGTGATATGGATTATTGTATTAATCAATTCAGTGCACTGTATGCTGTGTAGTGCTGCTGCAATAAGTGCAGTGTGTGCTGCTGTGAAGTCCAGTGTTGAAGGGAGGTGTTGAGTAAAGTAAAGTGCATGTATGACAATGTATGCAGGGGATAAACCTGGATATAGATCACAGGGATATGTGAATATTTGATCTGTTATGGTTGCACATGTCAGATTTATTACATGACTCGGGCAGAGAAAAGCTGTTGCTATCAAACATTGTTTACTTAATCAACTGAGTCAGTGTAATGGGGAAGGGATAGATCAAATAGGCCAATTGATGGAAGGTATGCAAAGAAATTTCATGCTCCCTTGTAAAAGTATTTTTTAGTATTTTTAAAATACAAAAAATCAGTAGTTTATTTTGAGACATGGTGTGGCTGCTATATTTTGTAGTTTATTTTGATACACTTAAAATTAAGGTATTTGGTATTTTATTTTAAAATACATTTTGATGTATCTTTGCCCAACCCTGAGTCAACTGTGGTCCGTTAGAAATGCCCCATGACAAAATCTAATTTACAGTTTGTGTCAGTATAAATCAATAATAAAAATGTTTTTGTGCGTGGTTTAACGTGGTTTAAGAAATAAACACATTCCTGTTCAGTCATGCAAGCTGTCCTGTGAGTCCTGTCAAGTGCTTTAAAAACAATGCCCATTATTCTAAAGTTAGAGAATTATCAATGTATTTTTGTCTGTTTACTTCAGCTTTCGTAAGCTATAGTTATCGTGTTTTAGTTTCATTAGTAAATCAAGCATCATTTCAGCTGCGTAGTTCCCTTTCAAATGGGAACTCGCACTGCATCCTAGGACGCTATGGGGAACACCGCTGTCTGAAGCATGTGTCTAAACGCGACAATGTCATTGGTTGGCAACAGCCCAACAAGTCACGGTGCGACCGTGAGTATAAGAGGGCGCCTGTACACGTCATCAATTTCTTTTGACTTCAGGATCCATTTGTTTGGGTACGTGTGAAGGCAATCACTATGGAATATACTCAGCCAAGCATTTCAGGAAGTATGTTTTCAGAAATATGAGCGTATTGACACTTGAGGACATATGACTTGTGACTTATATGTTTGGGTAAGGAGCAAGTGCATTCAATTCTGGGGCGGATTGCGCTCATTGTGAGGTGCTCTTTGTGATGCATTCGCGAGACTGATTGAAAGAGACAGTGTCACTTCTTTGTTATCACCTGAGGGATAGTAGTTAGCTCTTGCACGAGCACGTTAGGCTCTCGAGGGAGTCGAAGGAACTTTCGTTTGTGACTGTTCTAGCGTGATTCTTGATTAAATGAAGGAACTTGACAGGAAGCATTTTTTTTGCACTAGTTTATGAACCCTTTCTTGTGGTAGGCACCTTCGGGAGTGTTAAAATCTAGAGAGCCTGTTTTTCCTTGGCTTTGACTGTAGAGCAGAACCCTCCCCCTGAGTTGGGTCCTACAGTCCCTGGTATGAGCTCTTTCGATCTCGAGAACCCAACAGGAAGTGTTTCGTTTTTTTCGCCCCAGGTTGCGAACCTATCCTTGTTGTAAGGCACCTTGAGGTGAATCTGACAGACAAAAGCTATCTTTAGGGTAGTGTAGCTCAGGGCCGGCGATTTCTATAGGCGAACTAGGCGGTTGCCTAGGGCGGCAAATGTGTTGGGGGCGCCGGCGCCCTCTAGTGTCGCCCTTGGCCTACTTCCCATTAATCACAGAATTAGAATGACAAGCGAAACAAAAACATGTTTATTAAACATGATCATCCTAAGGCGCCCCTCAGCCATACGTTTAATTACTTGTCAACCTGATTATTAGATTGAATGGATGATTATTGTCGATCATTTCCTAAAGGGCCGGGAGTTAGTTGCGTTACGTTACGTTCTATGGTTACGTTAGGCGCGCTGATCGAAAATGAAGCGGTCTAAACCCTCACTGTAAACCCTAATGCTCAAAATAATTAATTGGTTTGAGTAGGACAAACTTAAATTAAACAAATTAGTTCAGTCAAATTAACTTTTATGAGTATTTAGCACTTTCTTTTTCTTTCAAGTTCACTGAACTGATATATTTTAAGTAAACTGAACTGTTTCATTGTTTTGAGTTTTATGAAATTATTTATTTTAATTTAGATGAACTTAAGTTTAACTGAAACAGCTGGGATGTCTATTTCCTAGCATGCTTTGCCGATGGCACTCGAAAGGGAGAGTAAATGCTAAAATTAAGTGTAATATAATGTTTTTTTGTGTGTAAGATTAATGTTATGTGTGAGATTTAGTAGTGATTCATGTTTTGTTATGCTAATTTAGAAGAATTTCTGTTAATGTTGGCTTTAGGATAGTTACCATCATGGTGACAAGTGGTGCGTGCAGCTTGATTTGAGAGCAAATAATCCATTTATTTTACTGTGCTCATACAGCAAGTGTTTCTGTATAACATACTATTGCTAATATGTTAGCATTTACTATGTTAGCAGATTAGCTTTTTGAAGCTAACTAAGTTTGTACTAATAAAAGTATTTTGAGTTCTGCCAACTTATTTGGGTTTACAGTGTACTTCATAGATTTAAGTTATATTAACTGAATGGAATTAGTACTATTAACTTTATTTACCCAAGTTATCTTAACAATAATTATTGAGTTACTTGAACACAAATCAAATATTTTTTTAAGCTTAAATTGTTTGAGTTAATAAACTTAAATGATTTAAGGCAATCGGTTTCCTCAAACGGTTTGAGTTGAACTAACTCATCAGGTTTTACAGGCACAGGGACGAAAACGGAGAAAGCAACAAGATAAAAAGAAAGCCCAGTATAGAGGTAAGTCTTCTCATCTCAGCCATTAAGGTGTCAAATGTTCTGGCCATCGGGACTACCGGGAGATTCCCGCGGGGCCGATGTGCTTTTTGGGCCGATACATCTCATACTTTTATTTTTCTATGTTTCTATTTTTGTCTTAACGGCCCATAAAACTCGTACATCGGTGGCCCATTCGTTTTGTTTTACTTAATTGACGGCGCTGGGTTACTTCCAAATAGGCCTATATAACTTACTTTCAAGTATAGAAATTTGTACAATAAGGCTACTTATGAAAGTTTCCTTTATTTTTCAGTGCATTTGTTTTACAATATAGCCTATGGCTATTACTGTCATCATGGGATTAATATTATATCTAATTATTGTTGTAGTGTAATGTAGACAGACACTGTTATTAAAATAGGTTTGAATTTTTCTTTGTTCAATTTGCACACTGAATATGAGTTGGAGCTTTTAGTTTTGAACTCTCAAAGTGCACCAGATTGATGAATTTAACATTAAAATGCAGAAAAAAATTCTTACGGGGGAGATACCCCCGAACCCCCCTTAACCTTGTAGCAGCCTAATAGATTAGTAATAATAGTAGGCCTAGAGGTGCAGTTGTAATTTATCTACTACAAGTTATGGTCAGATAAAATATATTTGTACAATGCAACTATAAATATCCTTGAACGTTCTTTGCATTTATATGAACAATTTATTGTTGAAGTATTGTTGACTATAAGAGCATTTTTGTTTAGTTTAAAAAATACTCATTATTTTTGAGGGGGGTGGAGGGGAGGGGGTGGGGGTTTGCAAAACTCAATTTCGCCTAGGGCAACCAAAGGGTTAGAGCCGGCCCTGGTGTAGCTATAGGCCTCCTCTCATTCTAGCGAGTGGTCACGCTGAAGACTCCGCTCCCCAGAGCTTCGCTTAGATAGCCACATCAAGTTGTATGGCTCTTTGTGAGTGTAGTTAGGCCTCCTCTCGTTCTAGAGGATCATTATGCTTAGGCCTCCGCTCTCTTAGAGCTCAGTCTAAACAGTAGCACGAAACGCATATGGCTCTCTGTGAGCCTACTTGGTGAAACTGTCTTTAGGGTAGAGTGTTTCTAGGTCTCCTCTCACTCTAGACAGTCATCCTGCTAAGGCCTCTGATGATTCCAGTGTGTATGGCTCTCTGTGAGCCTCATTGGTGAACTGTTTGTGGACAGAGTGTAGTTAGGCCTCTAGATGGACCTCATGTTAAAGCATCTGCTCAGACAGCAGTTAGAGTTTGAGCTAGAATTCTCCCCTTCGCTCAGAGGGTTGTTATGCAGAGTATCTATTCCCGGTCCCTGTCTATAGAATCCGGTGTGAAAGGTTATTGCCTGCTACAAATTCCTTCTCATTGGAGGCCTCCTTATGGGGAGGTGCTGTGTGCAAACGGGTGGTAGGCCTTCACTGCTGACTTAGCAAAGTTAGCCTCCCTGGTGGTGTATTAGGGGTTGATTGGATACTTTACATCCCCCAGAAGTGACAGGCCAGAATTTATATTCTATTAATCATTGGACGTATTCCCTTTAGGTATTCATAATATGTAATACCAAGTCCTTGAGCTAGAGCTCTACTCGGCTCTTCAAGGAAGACAGGAAGAATGTAAGCCGGGACTTCCCTTGTAAGTGTGCGTGCAGCTTGGGCTATGGCCGTATGGAATAATGTAACAGCCTCTGGTGCATACCTATAGAATGGGAAACCTAACATCCCCTGTGTGGGTATTATTTTGTATGTGTATCTGTATCTGTAACAATCTCAAAACTACTCGCATCTGTATCTGTCTACTGATAAAACCTGAACTGGGCAGGGCTTTACCCGAAAGTTCATACAATTACTTGAGAAGACCCTTATGTCTGTGGTTTTACAGCCTATCTGTTTTCTTCGTAGTTATCACTGAACAATTTTTATTATGATTTTACTAACATTTATTTAAATATCTTCTAACTGTTTGAGCCGATAGCCTCATATAGGCAATGCTTTGAAGTGTAATGCGATTGTGCGACCTGAGTTCGAGTCCCAACTCGGGAACCTGTCGTGATTAAAAAAGTTCTAATTAAAACAGTAATAATACATACAAATAATAATTTGTTATATTTATATAGCGCTTTTCTGGGTACTCAAAGCACTTTACATAGAAAGGGGGGGAATCAACCACCACCAATGTTAAATAAGCATGTTAAATGCATTATACAATACATGTTAAATAAGATTTTTTTTTTTCCCCAGAGGAACTCTGAGTAATGTTATGACAATCACAACCCCAAATTAGAGGAGTCTGACTCTATACATAGCTGATTAGAGAACATGGAAGTTGAAAAAAAAAAATCTGAACAAATTATAAAGAATATACCAGCAGCATAAATGCCCTCTCAGAGAGAGTGAGACAGAGAAATATGTAGCCTATCATATCATACAAAGTTTAAAACATTTAAACACAAATCAAGTAGTAGAAAATGTACAGGCTATATATCTTGGCTGATTATTAGGCTACTCTTGTCAGAGCTTGTTTGGTTTCTGAGAGACACGCAAAGACTGGACACGGCTGTTTGATTTGCTATCTTGCTGTGCTTATTCATTCATTTGTGCGTATCGTACAAGGTTTAAATAATTTAAATATACATATCAAATAGTACAACATGTGTATGATGTAGTATTTTAGTTGATATACTCTTGCCAAGCTCTGATTTTAGAGACACACACGGAGAGGCAACAGCAACACGGCATTTTGATTTGCGCTCATTTCATTCAATCATTCAGTTCACAGTTCACTCATTATTGTGTATTGATTTTGGAGGTTAATATCGTGCTTCCCCCTGACTTACTTTTTATCCAGCAAACACGAGGAGTGACTGTGTCAGCCTCAGCGAAATATTATTAGGCAGAATTATTTGTTATTCGTTTTGAAGCCATTATCTGTGCCTTTCCCGAATAAGGTATTTGGCACACCCTAACAGGCACCCTCTTATACCCGTGGTAGCACCAGCAGTGACGTCTCAGGCTATCGCTTATCGTTTCAATAGGGGCCCCTTCACAAAGTTTTGCTTAGGGCCCCTAGAAGTGGAGGACAGGCACTGTACTGCATATTTAACCAGATCATATTGTTGAAAATTTTTAAAATCTTGAAACTTTTGTTTTGTTGTTTTACCAAGAAATTCTTGAAGAACACTCACTTGACTTTTTCTGCTGTTTTCCCCGTGTCTTCTTCTACAGCAGTGTAGATGTCAATTACTTTTGGAATAGAACCTTTGGTGTTTTCAGATACAGATATAGGCTTGAGCTTTGGCAGGAACTTTGGGGGTTCTGGTTTGTTTTTCACACTGATCTTCACTAAGTATGGCTTTTGTTTGGACACGCTGGAGCCCGGTTTATCTCCAAAAAACACAGATTGACCACTGGCTCCAGAAGCCCCAGATTGACCACTGGCTCCAGAAGCCCCAGATTGACCACTGGCTCCAGAAGCCCCAGATGCACCATCTGTTCCTATGCCTGCACCTACTGCTCCTGCTCCACTCCCTAGAGGTGCTCCTGGATAAGCTTTGTTTGTAACAACTAGGTTCAGGTTCATATCAGATGCTGACTCAAAGTCAGCAGGCTAAAGGAGAGAAAAAAAAAAGAGTTGCACTTTATTTTACGTGCACTTACAGTGTACTTACCTAAGAAAGTACTGGCTAAGGTAAGTACATAGGTTAAGGTTAGGTTTAGGGGTAGGTTCAGGGTTAGTACCAAGTTATAACCCAGTTATTGTAATTACTATAATAAGTACATAGTATGTAGCCTACATGGGGAACAGGACTATTAAATGAAAAAAAAAAATGCATTTGGTTACTCAATACGACCCATGTAATAAATATAGGCTTATGTAAATAACATGGGATCTGTACATCACACTAAAACAGCACACCCTTACTACATTTTAGCCTTGATCTCCTTGGTTGCGTCACATGAACTTCTTAGAACTGTGTACAAAATAAGCACTGACCTTGTTCAGGTACAAAATACCCATATTTGTCTTCGGATCAGTTTCAATAGTGAAACGTCCATCCTCATTTCCAGAGACTATTTCGAAAACGGCCAACCAATTGTCTGTCCTATCTTCATCGAGGTCCAGTGCCTGGATCCTTAAAACCTCAATGGGTGCCACATTCTCATCAATACTTGCGGAAAACTATAAAACCAGAAAAAAACAGTTCACACACTTTTCCATTACCATCTATTATTAAACATGTTCTTATACTAAAGTTAATAATGCAAAGTCTAAGAGGAATACCTTTGAGAAAGAGGAGTACATTTTAGAATATGAATGCAATGCGCTAGATGGTTAAGCATTGAAAAAAAAACAATTAACGAGAAACTGCGCATCGCGTTTTATATTTTGGGTTCATCTGCTTCCCTGTACATAGTATGCGTCATCGTTAATGTGTATGCTGAATTCGGTCTTTTAATATCAGTCTTACAACATTTTAGTGCTTAGTACAAACCGTAGATTGTAAAAAAAGATGGACGACGCCCCTTCATTCTCTTCCATTGGTGAAAACCATAGACTGTAAAAAAAAGATGGACGACGCCCCTTCTCTTCCATTGGTGAAAACCATAGACTGTAAAAAAAAGATGGACGACGCCCCTTCATTCTCTTCCATTGGTGAAAACCATAGACTGTAAAAAAAAAGATGGACGACGCCCCTTCGCTCTCTTCCATTGGTCAGAACTGAAGCCGCCAGTATCCCGATATGGCGCTGACATCTTGGGACTTGAGTCTGCGCAGTAGCGATTTCGGGACCAGACCTGCGCAGTCGTGACCCGGAAGTAAAGCCGCAAAATCAAGGCCCCGCCCTCACTCTCGCAGAATCAATCGCAAGCACACGCTCTGGCACTTTTTAAAATTAATTATAGAAATGTAGATATTAAATTTAAAGCTCCAATCTCCTCAGTCCTCCGAAGATCCCCCAAAAAAGTCTGTTGGTGCTTCAGTGACTACTTCGTTCAGAGAACCTGTCAATCACAGCTGTCAATCATGACGTCACAGCACCGTATCAAATAACTAACTAAAAACAAACTTGTTTTAAAAACAAACACTTGAACTTACATCAGCGTGATAAAAACTACAGTAGATGACAGAAACCATCTTTGGAAAAACGATATTTGAAGTGTAATTTAATTGTTTAGTTGGTCTCATGGGGATTGGTTGAATAACATGGGGAGGCGGGGTTTATGACCTATACTAGGACCAGCCACCGGGGGGCGATCGAGACGTTTTGGCTTCACTTTTCAGGGCTTGCACGGCACGCTTGGTGAAAACCAAGGGCGTGATTTTTTTATCCCAAACCACTTCAGCGGAAATCCCGCCCTGCAGCCGATTTCATTGGTTTAGGTTACAGTGACGGGTAGGTTTAGGGATCAGTGTTTGGTGTAGGCAATCAGTACAGTGATTGACATGACCAATGAAAACTTTAGAATCGGCTGCAGGGCGGGATTTCCGCTGAAGTGGTTTGGGGGAAAAAAAATCACGCAAACCAAGGGGGTAATCCATCAGCCGGAAGTAGCAGACTTCACCATTGTAGCAGACCATCACCTGCTGTTAGCACTCCATTGACTCCCATTCATTTTGGCGTCACTTTGACAGCGAATAACATACATCTGAGGCGTCCAAAGACTTCATTTGTCCATTATTTATTTCTAAAGAAACACGACAATGTATAAAAGGCTCCATTACTTTGTAACTTACGTTACGGCCCCGTAGAAGCCGTTTTTGTAAAAAATAGGCTAACGATTGCGTCATAACCACGCAACTTTCTGTCGCACAATAGAGACATTACCGTATAGACAGGAGGAGAAGCTCGCAGGCAATCTTTTACTGTCTGAGGCAATCGGGTGGACATGGAGGCATAAAGTCAAGGGAGAAGCCCATAGATAGAGAGTCCATAAAAGCAACGGGACAAAATATTTCAACAACGTTTTTGAGGAATTAGGTGATTCAGATTTGTCTAGGCACAGCTACTAGAAGATTTACAAATGTCTGACTGTCGTCACGCTCAGTTTGAGCCTGCGCAGTCGCTCAGACATCAGGCAGGAAGTGCAATAATCGGGCTTCAGTCTTCTCCGTTGAAATCAATGGGGTCGCTGTGTCCATTTCTTTTACTGTCTATGGTGAAAAGAAAACTGAAGCCGCCAAAGTCTTAAAATGGCGCTGACATCTTGCGCAGATTTGAGACCTGCTTCTGCGCATGTAGTGAGAGCGGGACCCGAGTCTGCACAGTAGTGAGCAGGATGTAAAGCCGCGATATCAAGGTCCCGCCCTCACTCTCGCAGAAACCGTTAGTACAGTTTACTGCAGAACAACTCATTATGTCAGTGTGAAATCAATAGTTATGGGCATATAGAAATTAAAACTGAAGCGTCAATCTCCTCCCGAAAATCGCCAAAAAAGTCCGGTGGTGCAGTGACTACTTTGTTTAGAGAAGCTGTCAATCATGACGTCACATTCCCGTTTTTATAGCATGACATAACTAACTAAAGACCAAACTTATTTTAAAAAACGAACACTTAAATTTACATCAGCGTGAAAAAAAAACTACCTAAAATGACAGAACACATCTTTGGAAAAAAATCATTTGAAGTGTAATTTGATTGTTTAGTTTCCATCGCGTTCATTAGACTTCATGGGGAGGCGGGCTTTATGACCTATACTGGGACAAGCCACCGGGAGGCGATCTATGATCGAGACACTTTGGCTTCACTTTTCAGGACTTGTGCGGCACGCTTGGTACAAACCTGAAAAAAAAAAAAAAAAAAAAAAAAAAAAAACCTGGCAGGCAATGGAGGAAAACCTGATTTTGCCCTCCAGGTGCATGTGCACAAGGGTGTCACTATGAACTATGAATTGTCTTTGAAATATAGCTAGTTAGTGCCTGCCGAATGATTTAAATACGCTTAAGTGGCATTTTATTTTTGTTAATATTTGATCTCCAAGTACAGTTTGTTTTAAATATACTATAAAGGTTTGAAGTAAGTGCACATTCAATGCATTTAAGTGCACTTCTTTTTTCACAAGGGTATGAAGAAAACAACACTATTTAATGCCAGAATTGTGACCTATTTATATTAGCAAATGCATATAGTCACCTCATCCTTCTCCAAAGTAGGAATATTGTCATTAACATCCAGGATGTCTATAGTTATAGAAGCTGTTGCAGAATTTCCTTGAGCACTTCCATACATGTCAGCAGCTTGCACCGTAAGAACATAAGAGCTGTGTCCCTGTTTAACAGAATAGGAAATTAATCCAGCTTGACTTTTTGGCAAAAGAAAATGACCCATAATCACACATATAAGTACCAGTATAACTGGAAGCAAATACCTCTCTGTCAAGCGTTGGGTTGTTCACAGAGATTGTTCCACTGTCTTTATTCACAGCAAAGAAAAGCTGGCCATCATTTGGCTCTTGTTTGATTAAGGTGTATGCTATCTTACTGTGGAGAGTGTTTGCCTTATCTGCATCTTTTGCCACAACTTGCGTTACAAAGGTTCCTGGAAAGGACACACATATTAAAAAATATATATATTTAAGGTGAAGGATTGGCCATCCCTATAAATTGCAGAAAATCAGACAATGGCTGACAATGTCAATGCAGTGGCAGGCTGGCTCACCAACTGGACACCCCTCATAAACCCTGCTTCGTTCTGGCTTGTTGAAAACTGGTGGGTTATCATTCTGGTCCTCCACGGCGATGTTTACTTTAATATTATCTTCAGCTATGGTGTTGTTAAAGAACCATGCAGTGCCAATAAGCTACAAGATAAAAATAAAACAAGGCTTCTATGACAATATGACTTTTTTTATGAAAAAAAAAAAAACTTTCTTGTTAACTTGAAAAGGCTGTCTGGAATTTATCAGAAACCAAGAGCAACTCTTTTTTAACAACTATAGCAAAAATCTGATGATATTGTAATTCTACCATTTAGTTTTCAGAAAGCTAGATATCTGAAACCAACATACAGCCTACAAATCGTTTTTTTTTTTTAAATCAAGTTTTTACTTAAAACCTTGAAAGTTACTGAGGTATAGCCCTTGTGTCAGCTATAGTCTCGGTCTATGGCAAGCCGTTTTAACTTTTATTCATTTCCAGGATATGAATACTTGATATCAACAATTCAATTTTCACTAGTTAAAATTATAATTATTGATATCAGGAATAATATTTCTACTAGTTAGTAATAATGGCAATTTTTGATATCAGGAATTACATTTTCACTAGTAACAATGATAATTCTTGATATCAACAATTGAATTGCAACTAGTAAAAACTATAATTCTTGATATCTGTAATTGTATTTTCACTAGTGAAATGTCACCATAGGCTGCCATTCAAAATCAATTCTTGATATCAAGAATTTATTTCTTACGAGTTGAAATTCCAATTTCACAAATCAGAAATACAATTCTTACTAGTAAAAACCGTTATTTTTGATATCAAGAATTAAATTGTCACTAGTTGAAATGTCTATTCTTGATAACAACAATTGAATTGCTACTAGTAACAATGTTCATTTTTGATATCAATAATAACATTTTCACTAGTGACAATGTTAATTTCTGATATCATGAATGTGATTGTTACTAGTAAGAAAGCCATTTTAGATATCTGAAATAATATTGATATCAGAAATACATTTTCAGATATCAAAAATGAAAAATTTTACTAGTAGCAATTCAGTTGTTGATATCAAGAATAGACATTTAGACTAGTGATAATTTAATTATTGATCTCAGGAATTCGCATTTTTACTAGTAACAATGTAATTATTGATATCAAAAATTATATTTCTACTAGTAAGAAATCAATTCTTGATATCAACAATTGATTTTGAATGGCAGTCTGGTGACATTTCACTAGTGAAAATACAATTGTTGATATCAAGAATTACATTTTTGATATCAATAATTCAATTGTTGATATCAAGAATTGAATTGTTGAAATAAAAAATGTAATTGTTGATATCAACAATTTATATCCTGGAAATGAATAAAAGTTAAAACGGCTTGCCATATCTACAGCATAACACATGACTGTGTACTATATATATATATATGCTTTGTATCTTAAATATTGTGTGTTTATTATCCTCACGGAGTAGTTTTCTCTCTCCTCACGATCCAGAGGCCGAATGATGCGAACCAACCCTTTGTACTCGTCTACCATGAAATGACCAACAGGGGGCAGGTCAGCTCCTGGACCCCTTAACGTGTAGCGCAGCGGCATGTCCAGGTCCATGTCTGATCGCATCTGAGAAAGATCATATTGCAATAATGCAGGTTAGAATACTGTTACTAATGATGAGTGTAAATGGTCCTAAAACCTGGAAAGTTTAAAAATCACAATTCAAAAAATTCAATAATTTAAGAATTTATCACGGCTAACTGATTTTAATAACCAAAACTTGTTTAGCTCTGTCTTAATAATTTACTAATAAAGTCCTGTTCAAATATTTACCCCATTACAAAAATGCTAAATTCCTAAAAATTGTAACACCCAAAAAGTATCACCAGTTTGGCATTATCTAAAGTTTAATGGTAAAAGTTCAATTTTCACAAACTGTAGTGCACAAACTTTATAAACAAACTTGACTGCATTCACCAAGCTTCAACACTGTTACTGTAAGAAAAAATGATCAAACAAGAATTTCTTTCATTTCTTTTTAATTTCTCTACTTGTTTTCATAATTTATTAAATATTTTTTTGTACTACGAACTTTAATGTCAAAAACACCATACAGCTCAGATAGTCATATGAGTTATAGTTAGTACAATGTTTAAAGTGGACTATCAAAATAAAGTGTAACCAAATAGGTTTTAAAGTAAATTCAAACCAGCATTAGTTGGCTAATCCCTCCTGAGTGATAACTTAATCTACACTGTCAACACTGTAACCCTGTTTTTGTATTATTATATATTTTTTTTTGTGTGTCTATTGAAATTTGGATGTCGATTTAATGCGTATTGCTTGAAAATAAGCAAAAAAATAATAATAATTGGACATGTCCCAAATTTTGGTAACAAGCTTAATTTAAAATGATTGAAAAATAAAACAGGTCATATAATTTAGTTTGCATAGTTTTATTTTCCACTAAAAAATAAAGGAATTGTATTAAAGGTACCCTTTTTGTGGAAAGTGCTGACAACTGTATACTGTAACAGTTTTATCTTTTAATAAAGAAATTGATTTACTGAGTAAGTATACTGAAAAAACTTGATTATAACTTGAACAACTGAATTATTATCGAAGCCGGCATTGTAATATGCAGTACGTGCAAGGAGTGGAGAGATTTGCTGTATTGTAAGATGTTTCTATTACCTTGCTGATGAAGGGCTCATTGCTGTAGTCCACATTTTCTATAATCTTTCTAACAGGTACAACCCATTCCCTTTTATGACGCTGCTTCTGTGAAACTTTCCAACAATCCCCAGTGCTCAGGATCTGTTAAAAGAAAGAAAAAAAGAAAACATTAACACATAACCTTAACACTATAGTATTTGCTCCATAGCACTTTTTAAAATACCATTTTATTTTTTATTTTATTTTATTATGGCCTGGTTTTTAGGTTTAATATGTTCTTTAACGGTGATAAATGGTTGTGCAGTTTTTTTTTAGTAATGTAACTTTGTGTATGCAAGTAGTAAAATATGAGATGGTTCACCTCTTCTGTATGCTAACAACACAGTTACAAGTGAACATTCAATGTTATATTCATATTTTGTATGTGAGGTCTCATTTCAGACTTCCAAAAAAAAAAAAAAGAGTATGACTTTCTTAATCAGCACTTTTGTCTTGTTTACAGTAAAAATATCTAAACATCCTTCAAACAACGTATATTTTCTATTATTATTCTATTATATCTATTATTATAACTTAGTTTCTATTAAGATATTGCGACTTGGAGCTGTGCTTGAATTATTTTTGTTTGTCTTACTTCATTGGCATATAGGTTTAATCATAAAAATCATAATCATAAAAACAGTGATGTTACAGTCATTACGGAATTGCATTTTGGTATCTGTATATACACTGTAAAACAAATATTTTTTGAAGTTGTAAATACAACAAAGATTTCATGTTTAATTCAATACGTTACTTGCTGATACTACCGATTTCGGAGTGAAACATTTTCTATACCAATTCTTATATTATGTTAATATACCAACCTTTTTGAGGTATTAAAATCAGTTTGTTACTGTAAAATATACGGATAATATTGTATGTGAATGTGATAAAGGCCACAAAATCACTAAATGTAATTTAATTACAAGCAAACAGAATAGTGCTTCTTTCCCTTGTAAAGTATACAGGGATTTATACATTTTACAATTGCTTTGTCAAATATAATATACATTTTCAGTGTACATACTTTTCTACTTAAACTAAGAAAGCATACTTTACAATAAATGTACATATATTGTGTGTCTTTTAAAATATAATATCATTGGTAACATTTTACAAAAAGGGACCATTAGTTTAAGTATGCATTAATTAACAATGCTCAATACATTTGTTACAGTAGTTATTTGTTAATATTAGTTAACTGTTCGTTGTTAGTTCATGTTAGCGCACGGTTCATGTTAGTTCATGTTAGCACAATTTTTAGGTTTTAAACGGCAGCATTTATGCTTTTTCTGTTAAATATTAACAGTGCGGTATTTCTTCTCAGGTAAATTTATCTGGTTTTGGTGCTATTTAGATATTTTTATTGGAAAACAAGACAAAAATACTGTTGCACTTTATTTTAAGATCTTAATTATATATTACTTACAATGTAATTAAACATTTAAGTACTGAATAATATAAATTAACAACATACACTTACTATAGGGTCAGGGTTAAGGTTTGGTTTAGGGTTAGTTGTATGTAATATGCATAATTTATTGTTATTACTATAGATAGTACATGCACTGTAAAAAATATTTTTGTAATTTAGTTGTTTCAACTTATTTATTTTTTTTGTGTAGAGATAACTAGATTGTCCAGACAACAAGAAATGTTAAGTTTTCTTGTCCTCAACTTATCGAAATAAGTTAGTTAAACTAAAAAAAAAAACATTCGAAAAGATAACACAAAATAATGAGTTAAGTTTTTTTTACAGTGTGTAACGTGTAACAAATAAAGTGTTACCAAAAATACTGATTAAGACAATGCTTTTCACTGCAGCATATTCACACGTGTCACATTTGACAACTTTTCACAACATACTCGATTGGTCAATTTTTTCAAATAAATAAGAAAATAAAAAAAGCTTTTAATGGTCACATTCATCTCTTTTTACATACCTGCGCTGTGAGAAGCAGCAGCAATGTGGGAGCCAGCAAAGAGTGAGGGAGCATCTTCTAGAACTGAAAGAAATCCGTCAATGTCAAGAGTGTCGTCAATGGCTTTTCAAACGGTATGCGCACTGTTCTTTTGCAACACAAAAATATAAGGCTCAAACCATATTTTGGTCCGCCCCAAAAGTAAAGCCTCATCACATGTCTCTTTCACCCTGTGTAGGTTGAGGAATGACATGGTAATTATGACATGGTAATTATGACAGAGAGGAAAACTCTGTTCCTAAAGGGAAAGAAAGAACACCACCAAGCCCTTTAAAAACATGAATTATTTTTCTATTTTTAAGTTACATCACAAGAAACGTGTGGAATTGTTCTTTAAAAGTTGGGTTGTTTTGAAAGTTTGAATGAAATAATGAATGAAATAAATGAAACTGAAAGTAAAACGTTCATTGTTAATTACCCTATGTTGTAACATGGCAGTCAGTCCAGTTCTAAGGAAATAGCAGGAGGGGTTAACCACATAAAATGTTTTTGTACTTCACAATAGCTGCAGGGTTTTTCTATTATTATTTTTTTGTGTTGGTGTCCTAACGTGAGTAATGTCAGTTAAATGCATCACATAAAGAACCTTGAACCATATGACAGTGACTTCTGAAGAAAACACACCTTAGATAATTTATTTTTACCACGGAAAAAGCCATTAAAAATGTCGTCTGTCTTTGTTTTGAATCGCTTGGATTACTCACATCAGTTCAAACCTGTTTGCTTTAAAGGGATAATTCACTTTGAAATTAATTTTGGTATGTTTTAGCTTACCTCAAGGGCATCCAAGATGTAGGTGTCTTTGTTTCCGCAGTAGTTTCAATTTTGATATTTTTAGGTCAAACCGTTCTTGTCTGTTAGTTATATAAGGCAGGTCTATGGTCTCCACCTCAAAGAGCATGCACAGAGAAGTCCAAATTAAACATGATTTAATTACTCGTAAATGTAAGTACACATTGATGGCCTAAGACACGAAACGAGCGGTTTGTGTGAGAAAACGAACAGTATTTATATCGTTTTTACCTTGTAAACACAGCCACGTCCAAGTGATCTGAGGGCGCGGGCGCTTCGGTCTTTTCCGTCAATCGCCGGAAGTGATCTCTCGCGCGTGTACGTCACTCATACAATTGTTTTATTTTTTATTTTTTTAAATTGTTTTCTTTTACGATGGTTTAAACATCCCGGATAAGCGCAAATTAGTACCATTTTAATTAGCCGTCTTACCTACAATCTCTGTTCTGTGTAAACAATGAGTGACGTACACGCGCGAGAGATCACTTCCGGCGCTTTCCGGAAAAGACCGAAGCGCCCGCGCCCTCAGATCACTTGGACGTGGCTGTGTTTACAAGAGGTAAAAAAAGGATAACGTATAAATACTGTTCGTTTTCTCACTCAAACCGCTCGTTTCGTGTCTTAAGCCATCAATGTGTACTTACATTTACGAGTCATTAAATCATGTTTAATTTGGACTTCTCTGTGCTGCTCTTTGAGGTGGTGACCATAGACCTGCATTATATGACTGACAGACAAGAACGGTTTGACCTAAAAATATCAAAATTGAAACTACTGCGGAAACAAAGACACCTACATCTTGGATGCCCTTGAGGTAAGCTAAAACATACCAAAAATTAATTTCAAAGTGAACTATCCCTTTAAGTAGCAGTTCCTTATGAAGTTACCAGCCACTGACAATTTATTGAATTTTTATTTAAACATTTATTTACTCGTCAAAGTCAGTTGTTTTTCAACCACTTTACCCAACTTGCTAAAATCATGAAGGCCACCCCTAGCCCTCCTGGGTATTCGGACGATGAATTTAAATTGTTTTTAATTTTTAAATCGTAGCTTCATCGGAATGAATGGTACGTGTCATGTTCTCGTTGCTGCATGTGTTTTTTGTTTTAAATGGACTTT